TCAAACAAGTGGTACCTCCCAGTCAATCAAACAAGCGGTACCTCCCAGTCAATCAAACAAGTGGTACCTCCCAGTCAATCAAGCAAGCAGTACCTTTCAGTCAATCAAACAAGCGGTACCTCCCAGTCAATCAAACAAGTGGTACCTTCCAGTCAATCAAACAAGCGTTACCTCCCAGTCAATCAAACAAGTGGTACCTCCCAGTCAATCAAACAAGTGGTACCTTCCAGTCAATCAAACAGGCGGTACCTCCTAGCCAATCAAACAAGTTATACCTCCTAGCCAATCAAACAAGCGGTACCTCCCAGTCAATCAAACAAGCGGTACCTCCCAGTCAATCAAACAAGCAGTACCTCCCAGTCAATCAAACAAGTTATGCCTCCCAGTCAATCAAACAAGTGGTACCTCCTAGCCAATCAAACATGCAGTACCTCCCAGCCAATCAAACAAGTTATACCTCCCAGTCAATCAAACAAGCGGTACCTCCCAGTCAATCAAACAAGCGGTACCTCCTAGCCAACCAAATAAGCAATACTATCTCGTCAGTCAAACCAGTTTGACCCCCGGTAAAATCTAACTACCACCCAATCGATAGAAAAATTGTGCCACCCAGTCAACCAAAAAATGCAGTCAATCTAACAGCACCACCAAGTCAATCAATGCTGAACTTCAGACACCAGATAATCACATAACTATTCCGAGAACCTTGAGTACTCCAAAGAGAATCACACTGTCTACCTACAAATCTAAAAACTAACAAAAGTCCACTCCAAAATTATATATAGCCAAGTGAAAAGGTATCATCTTTTAAAACATCTGCGTTACGATATTTACTGACAGTTTGTTAGGAATGAGTGGTAGTTTGTTGGGAATGAGTGGTAGTTTGTTGGGAATGAGTGGTAGTTTGTTGAGAATGAGTGGTAGTTTGTTGGGAATGAGTGGTAGTTTGTTTAAGACATGCTCAGACTCACACCGTCGCTATAACAAGATGGAATGCTGCTTTTCATGGTAAATATCAAATGCCGACGTAGATGTAGAAAAGAAAAAAATACTGTCAATGGGGTGATTTTTTTTATTCAGGTGACGGTGGATATCGCAATCACAAGAAGACACTTTCTTTAAAAGAACGAAAGATTAATACCGGCGGCCTTTGGTCAAACAATTCAACGTATTTTGCGGAGACCAAGTTTCTATTTATAGCTGTAGTGACCTTGAACTTTGAGTTTGAGTTGAATTTGGGAAAAAGAGAACTTAATATACCGGTATGTGGTAATCACCACCGGTATTATAGTGGTGAGATGCACGGACGGGCTGGATGACAAACGGGCGGGCGGACGGGCTGTATGACAAACGGACGGACGGGCTGAAGGACAGAGGTGCTTACTGAGGATAAGAAATTGTAAGCTTACATTGGTTTATTTTAGCACATTAAAGCCACATTTACTTCATTAAATCAACTGTTCATGAATGACACTCGTTAAAATATCAGTGGAAAAACAAAACTAAAATAATTTCATTTGTAAAGGCACTCCATCAGAATGTCAGTCGTGTGTCCGTCATATTGATTGGGACAGTTTCTCACAATTTCAAATATTTTAGTGTTCCGCTAGTTTGTGGGTAAGTATATGATCAATAAGTATTAAACTTGTATGGACATGTTTGTGACTTATACACCAGTACACAACCAGACATCGGAACTAAACTGACAGTTGATGATCCAAAGAATTCAGTTACATGCATTGGCTTTTCATTAAAAAAACTATTTCGCGCGGACACTTCATAACGTGGATGTCTGTAGCTCAATAACTCTAATTATTGTAATTATAACAGTTGATGAACTTCTTGGACGAAGGATGATAATTCCCATTCACAGTATTTGAAAATGTCCTCATTTATATCTAAAACTATTAAAGGTACCAGCCTTAAACTGAAGTTATCGTAATAATCCAAGGTTTGAAGTTGAGAGAACCGAATACCTTTAATACCATCCTGCCTCTGTATCGTCAGTGATACGAAAGGCCAACCCTACAGTGCGTCCGAGGGAAATGATTGGTCAAGAGAAAGGTTAAAATCTAGATAGATGGGTCACTAATAGAGACAAACGAAATGACAAGTAAAATGGAATGAGGAAACTGTCAGACCTTCCACGTGGCAGTCTGTGTACTACAGCACTAAAACATTAAGGTATTTGTGACAGCACCGGGACCTAGTAAAACACGAGAATTCACCTATTGTAAAACTCCCGACAACCTACATAAAAGGCTTTGCTGCGAGTCGCCGATTAGGTGTGTTTATTGAGCTTGGCACTGTAAATACCTATTAAACGGGTCATGAATTCAAATATAATTTGGGACATTATCGACAATTGATCAATATGTTTATTTAAAACAATCAATCTAGCTGTCTTGTAGAAGTATGCTATTTGGCCTGTTCGGGTTATAGGATATACCGAGCTGTTTAATATACAATGTACCATATAAATAGTCAAGGTGTTCAATGTGTATATCGTAAACTTCCTTTACACTGACAAACACACAGGTACCCCCTCTACTCTAACTCACATATCTACCTATAAACAACAAGGTGTCTAACACACATTATCGTTATATATCAAAATTTTAATTTTTCAAACTACCCAAATGTGTATATCCAATTTGTTACAACTACAAAACAAAGTCTATATCCTGAATGTCTGATAAATACTCACAAAACAAAGTCTGCATCCTAAATGTCTGACAAATACTCACAAAACAAAGTCTATATCCTGAATGTCTGACAAATACTCACAAAATAAAGTCTTTATCCTGAACGTCTGACAAATACTCACAAAATAAAGTCTTTATCCTGAATGTCTGACAAATACTCACAAAACAAAGTCTGCATCCTAAATGTCTGACAAATACTCACAAAACAAAGTCTGCATCCTAAATGTCTGACGAATACTCACAAAACAAAGTCTTTATCCTGAACGTCTGACAAATACTCACAAAACAAAGTCTGCATCCTAAATGCCTGACAAATACTCACAAAATAAAGTCTGCATCCTAAATGTCTGACAAATACTCACAAAACAAAGTCTTTATCCTGAATGTCTGACAAATACTCACAAAACAAAGTCTGCATCCTAAATGCCTGACAAATACTCACAAAATAAAGTCTTTATCCTGAATGTCTGACAAATACTCACATAAACAAAGTCTATATCCTGAACGTCTGACAAATACTCACAAAATAAAGTCTTTATCCTGAATGTCTGACAAATACTCACATAAACAAAGTCTATATCCTGAACGTCTGACAAATACTCACAAAACAAAGTCTGCATCCTAAATGCCTGACAAATACTCACAAAACAAAGTCTGCATCCTAAATGTCTGACAAATACTCACAAAATAAAGTCTTTATCCTGAATGTCTGACAAATACTCACATAAACAAAGTCTATATCCTGAACGTCTGACAAATACTCGCAAAACAAAGTCTGCATCCTAAATGCCTGACAAATACTCGCAAAACAAAGTCTTTATCCTGAATGTCTGACAAATACTCACATAAACAAAGTCTATATCCTGAACGTCTGACGAATACTCACATAAACAAAGTCTATATCCTAAATGTCTGACAAATACTCACATAAACAAAGTCTATATCCTAAATGTCTGACAAATACTCACAAAACAAAGTCTATATCCTGAACGTCTGACGAATACTCACATAAACAAAGTCTATATCCTAAATGTCTGACAAATACTCACATAAACAAAGTCTTTATCCTGAACGTCTGACGAATACTCACAAAACAAAGTCTATATCCTAAATGTCTGACAAATACTCACAAAACAAAGTCTATATCCTGAATGTCTGACAAATACTCACAAAATAAAGTCTTTATCCTGAATGTCTGACAAATACTCACAAAACAAAGTCTATATCCTAAATGTCTGACAAATACTCACAAAACAAAGTCTATATCCTAAATGTCTGACAAATACTCACATAAACAAAGTCTTTATCCTGAATGTCTGACAAATACTCACAAAACAAAATCTATATCCTGAACGTCTGACAAATACTCACAAAACAAAATCTATATCCTGAACGTCTGACAAATACTCACAAAACAAAATCTATATCCTGAACGTCTGACAAATACTCACATAAAAAAGTCTACATCCTAAATGTCCGACAAATACTCACAAAACAAAATCTATATCCTGAACGTCTGACAAATACTCACATAAAAAAGTCTACATCCTGAATGTCTGACAAATACTCACAAAACAAAGTTTTTGGCCTAAACCTATCACATCTATCCACAAATGTAGTGAATGTTGGGGATTTCAACCTAAAACATACCAATTAGATCAAGGAGTCCACAACCGGCCCTCATGGATCATCCATAATTCAAATTCCTTGAAATAGTGAATGTTAGTTTCTCAACCGGCACATCTCTACTCCACCGAGAATAAGCAAATTACTCATCACAAACTAAACCAACATGATAAAAATGTGCCAATCTGTAACAGAGATCACGCCACATTCAACATAGCGTTGCAAGAGATCTGTCAGAACGAATGCAAGTCATTTCAAAGTGTTATGGTATAGTGATGGGCAATGCTAATCATGTGCAAAGGGAAAGTAACTCAATTTTTAGTTAATGTTAATTCCCCGAATGGAAAATCTGCTGTAGAGAAGACAAAAAGTGAGAATGAATAAGATGACACACGTTCCTATGATAATTCCCCAACAAAATCTCGCTCTACAACACAGCACAACGATAGGTCCCTAAACAATCGGAATAAATAACTAAACGACTTCTGCCTTTGTCCCGAAACAACCTGACACCGACATACCTAATTACCTATAAAAAAACCAGATGAGCACCAGAAGGAGTCTGGGATGTGTGGACGGAACTTGGGGTCTGTGGACAGAGCTTGGGATCTCTGGACTAAGTCTGTGATCTGTGGACGAAGCCTGGGATCTGTGGACGGTGCCTGGGATCTATGGACGGAGCCTGGGACCTGTGGACGGAGCCTGAGATCTGTGGACGGATCTTGGGTTCTGTGGAAGGAGCCTGGGATCTGTGGACGGAGCTTGGAATCTGTGGACGGAGCTTGGCATCTGAGGACGGATCTTGGGTTCTGTGGAAGGAGCCTGGGATCTGTGGACGAAGCCTGGGAGCTGTGGACGGAGCCTGGGATCTATGGACGGAGCCTGGGACCTGTGGACGGAGACTGAGATCTGTGGACGGAGCTTGGGTCCTGTGGACGGAGCCTGGGATCTGTGGACGGAGCTTGGGATCTGTGAGCGGAGCTTGGGATCTGTGGACGGAGCTTGGGTCCTGTGGACGGAGCCTGGGATCTGTGGACGGAGCTTGGGATCTGTGAACGGAGCTTGGGATCTGTGAGCGGAGCTTGGGATCTGTGAGCGGAGCTTGACATCTGTGGACGGAGCTTGGGATCTGTGGACGGAGCCTGGGATCTGTGGACGGAGCTTGGGATCTGTGAGCGGAGCTTGGGATCTGTGGACGGAGCTTGGGTCCTGTGGACGGGGCCTGGGATCTGTGGACGGAGCTTGGGATCTGTGAGCGGAGCTTGGGATCTGTGGACGGAGCTTGGGTCCTGTGGACGGAGCCTGGGATCTGTGGACGGAGCTTGTGTGACGGAGCTTGGGATCTGTGAGGGATCTGTGAACGGAGCTTGGGATCTGTGGTCGGAGCTTGGGATCCTGTGGACGGAGCTTGGGATCTGTGATCGGAGCTTGGGATCTGTGAGCGGAGCTTGGGATCTGTGGCCGGAGCTTGGGACCTGTGGACGGAGCGTGGGATCTGTGGACGGAGCTTGGGATCTGTGAACGGAGCTTGGGATCTGTGAGCGGAGCTTGGGATCTGTGGCCGGAGCTTGGGTCCTGTGGACGGAGCATGGGATCTGTGAACGGAGCTTGGGACTTGTGCTTGGGATCTGTGGACGGAGCTTGGGATCTGTGAACGGAGCTTGGGATCTGTGAACGGAGCTTGGGATCTGTGAACGGAGCTTGGGACCTGTGCTTGGGATCCGTGGTCGGCGCTTGGGATCTGTGGACGGAGCTTGGGATCTGTGAACGGAGCTTGGGACCTGTGCTTGGGATCTGTGAACGGAGCTTGGGACTTGTGCTTGGGATCTGTGGACGGAGCTTGGGATCTGTGAACGGAGCTTGGGATCTGTGAACGGAGCTTGGGATCTGTGAACGGAGCTTGGGACCTGTGCTTGGGATCCGTGGTCGGAGCTTGGGATCTGTGGACGGAGCTTGGGATCTGTGAACGGAGCTTGGGACTTGTGCTTGGGATCCGTGGACGGAGCTTGGGATTTCTGAACGGAGCTTGGGATCTGTGAACGGAGCTTGGGACTTGTGCTTGGGATCCGTGGACGGAGCTTGGGATTTCTGAACGGAGCTTGGGATCTGTGAACGGAGCTTGGGACTTGTGCTTGGGATCCGTGGACGGAGCTTGGGATTTCTGGACGGAGCTTGGGATCTGTGGACGGAGCTTTGGATTTTTCTATATAAGTCTGCTCACAAAAAAGACAGAGCCAAACATGTATGTTTACAAAAAGAAAAAGACAAACAGTTAAACACAGAAACATTACAAGAACAAATCCAAACAGCTAAACACTTTCTTTACAGGTATGTTTACAAAAAATGGCACAAACCATTTCCCAGAGAAAACAAGCAAACAAGAGACGAAAGACCCGTCAACAATTAATATAAGTTAAAGGTCTTGACAACACCCGTTCTAGCATACTGAAGGAAAATAGTCGAGGCTTCCGAAAATCGATTGATCGACACAAAATCCCTGGTAGAGAGAAGGTACCTAGCGTTACCGCTGTACACAACAAGAGGCCCAAAAGGCCTGAACAGTAACATCAGATACACTGTTGTTGTTCTATATCAGAGATATAATCCTGTTAACACAGTAAGATCATTTAAACTTCATTGTACATGTAATCCAAATGTAAATTATGTTTAACATTAACCGCCATCCCATGTTCAGGCAACTGCATTAAAAGTAATACCACACCACGCGATTCACAACACGGGACTAAAGGCCATTACAATAGGTCACCATGAGGCTTAGTCTTAAAACGGACCAAAATATCATGAAACAGCTATTGCCAAACAAACCTTACATCAATTACTTGTTTAAAAGAATTGAAAAAATTGCAGAATCTGTGTCACATCCTCACGGAATCAGGAAAGGTCATTCATGTGTAACGCATTTAATTGATGTGATCGAAAACAGGACAGGAGCGTTGAACTAAAAAATATTGTAGGCTTTGTTAATGCTTATTTTGAAAAAGCTTTTCACGAGGTTCCCACCTTGGTGATAAAAACAAAATAAATGGACCAAGGACTTCCTTGTCAATAGAGAGTCGCACTTAATAGCAAATACTATAATTTGTCAAAAGTCACAAGTGAAATCCCAAGAGAGAGCGTACTCGGACCAATACTCTTTCTAATATTCATCGATGATTTACCGAAGTTGTTTAAAATGCCTTTAAGATCTTCGCGGACGACACAAGTTTCAGCAGAAAGAAGAAAACTTCCGAAGTGACTTAGATAATTTAGGATAATGGTCAAAAGAAAGACAACTTCAATTCAACGAGGTAAAAGCAAGTGTCGCCATTTAGGCTCATTTCCAAGCAGAGAGTTACCATTCTCGGAATTATTTGGCGAACCTTGCGTGATAAAACACTCTCTTATAGAAATCGGTGGTAAGATCACAGCTGGAATATACTTAACAGTCTCGTTTGTGACATTCAAGAACAATAACCAGGCCACAGAATCTGCCGAGCGCCGTGTCACTAAAATATTCACGATAATCAATCAAATATAGTACAAAGGGAGATAACTAGCCTGATACTACAACATTACAATATAGACAAATCAGAATGGACAAGATAAAGACCCTGTGTAACAAAGTCAGTCTATATACACCAGTGTGACAAAGTCTATCTATATACACCAGTGTGACAAAGTCAGTCTATATACACCAGTGTGGTAAAGTCAGTCTATATACACCAGTGTGACAAAGTCTATCTATATACACCAGTGTGACAAAGTCAGTCTATATACACCAGTGTGACAAAGTCAGTCTATATACACCATTGTGACAAAGTCTATCTATATAAACCAGTGTGACAAAGTCTATCTATATACACCAGTGTGACAAAGTCTATCTATATACACCAGTGTGACAAAGTCTATCTATATACACCAGTGTGACAAGTCAGTCTATATACACCAGTGTGACAAAGTCTATCTATATAAACCAGTGTGACAAAGTCTATCTATATACACCAGTGTGACAAAGTCAGTCTATATATACCAGTGTGACAAAGTCAGTCTATATACACCAGTGTGACAAAGTCTATCTATATACACCAGTGTGACAAAGTCGGTCTTTATACACCAGTGTGACAAAGTCAGTCTATATACACCAGTGTGACAAAGTCAGTCTATATACACCAGTGTGACAAAGTCAGTCTATATACACCTGTGTGACAAAGTCTATCTATATACACCAGTGTGACAAGTCAGTCTATATACACCAGTGTGACAAAGTCTATCTATATAAACCAGTGTGACAAAGTCTATCTATATACACCAGTGTGACAAAGTCAGTCTATATACACCAGTGTGACAAAGTCAGTCTATATACACCAGTGTGACAAAGTCTATCTATATACACCAGTGTGACAAAGTCAGTCTATATACACCAGTGTGACAAAGTCAGTCTATATACACCAGTGTGACAAAGTCAGTCTATATACACCAGTGTGACAAAGTCAGTCTATATACACCAGTGTGACAAAGTCTATCTATATACACCAGTGTGACAAAGTCAGTCTATATACACCAGTGTGACAAATATACACCAGTGTGACAAAGTCTATCTATATAAACCAGTGTGACAAAGTCTATCTATATACACCAGTGTGACAAAGTCAGTCTATATATACCAGTGTGACAAAGTCAGTCTATATACACCAGTGTGACAAAGTCAGTCTATATACACCAGTGTGACAAAGTCAGTCTAAATACATCAGTGTGACAAAGTCTATCTATATACACCAGTGTGGCAAATTCAGTCTAAATACATCAGTGTAACAAAGTCTATCTATATACACCAGTGTGACAAAGTCAGTCTATATACACCAGTGTGACAAAGTCAGTCTATATACACCAGTGTGACAAAGTCAGTCTATATACACCAGTGTGACAAAATCATTTTCAAAGATTGATACATTCCATTAAATGCAAATCTGGAATTTTACTGGACACATTAAGGTTGCAATCCTACAAATAGTGCTTATCTTTGCCGAAACATCAAGTAACAGGATACCAACGAGTCCTTAATTCAATCTCAAAATCGACGAGGGCAAAATATGAACAAAAGAAAAATGTATCCTAAAACACATGGTCTTATACAAGGTGAATAAGACAGGTATTCCGGAGGGATAAACGTCTTCTGCTTCATCGACGACATAAGATATGTAAATACATGCCAACTCAAATAAGTAATCTGACATGCTGAAGTAAGAACGAAGTCAACAGCTGGGGTCTATGATAAAGAAAGAAGGTTGATGGAACAACAGACTAGACTTGTTGATTCTGTAATCGGTAACAAACGCTAAACGAAAACCAAACTTATTGAACTAAATGTCTTGTTTTGACAAACAAATAGGGAAGAGACTTGTCCATCACATGAAAATAGGGCAAGGGTTTGATATGAATTGGCAGGTTATCGGTTGTCATTCTGCGGCTCGATCATCAGCAATACCAGGGATAAAAAGTTCTGAAAATCGATATCGGCTAACACAAATATTTACATACAGATTTACACAACAAAACTCCTACGTCACGTTGTGATATTCAAAACAATGTTACAAAAGTGAGGTAAGAGTTTCCTCTCCCGTAAACCCAACCCTCACACACTATGTCTGACCTAGAGGCTACTCCCAAGACATAAACCTAGGCAACCTTGGAGTTAAAGCATAATGGCTCACCAGAGAATGTCAGTAAATCGTGAACTCGTCTCCATACCGATCCATTACTGCATCAGATTGTCACTCCCAGCAAACAATGGTGAAACAAAGGGGCGTTAAGTTGTGACTTAGCTGCCGAAGTCAGTCTCTTTAATAACAATCAGCGGGATTTACATTGTACGTGTACTGTACAAGGAAGAAACGACCAGACAAGCCTTGAGAAACGCCATTTTGAGAAATTCTCAACTAAGTACGTACTCAAGCTGAGAATTTTGAGTTGAGAATCCAAATTTAAGAAGTTTCGAGATCCTTGGGCCAGAACTCATTCGTCCCCGAAAACAACACGAAATGAAGACCAGATGATCAATGAATCTTCATGCTGTACCTCTTTGGTGATTAGGGATGATGGTGCCAGCAGTTATTGACTTGATCTTAAACACGAGAGGTTATCGGGATTCTCTAGAGATGACGATGATGGTGATGATGTGTGCAGTCCGAATTCAAGGCTACACCATCCAATCTATACACCCAAGTTAATACTGCATGCCAGTCCATCGCTAATAGTACTTATCCATATAAAGTCCCCTGGTATTACTACATGTCGCAGTTAGTCGGCACATTATTCTGTCTCCTTCCTTTATTTTGCAGTTCAAGATGAAACAGAAGATTTTTATTAATCAGAAGTGTTGTTTTTATCCTAGTACAGTAATTTTCCACTTGCCGATTTTGCCCTTCAAAACGCCTGCACTTTTCTCCTGGTACAGTACTTTTCCAATGGCCTATTTCACCCTTCAAAAACATCAGCACTTTCCCCCCTGGTACAGCACTTTTCCAATGGCCTATTTCACCCTTCAAAAACATCAGCACTTTTCCCCCTGGTATAGCACTTTTCCAATGGCCTATTTCACCCTTCAAAAACATCTGCACTTTTCCAATGGCCTATTTCACCCTTCAAAAACATCTGCACTTTTCCCATGATACAGCACTTTTCCAATGGCCTATTTCACCCTTCAAAAACATCTGCACTTTTCCCATGGTACAGCACTTTTCCAACGGCCTATTTCACCCTTCAAAAACATCTGCACTTTTTCCCCTGGTACAGTACTTTTCCAATGGCCTATTTCACCCTTCAAAAACATCTGCACTTTTCCCATGGTACAGCACTTTTCCAGCGGCCTATTTCACCCTTCAAAAACATCAGCACTTTTCCCCCTGGTATAGCACTTTTCCAATGGCCTATTTCACCCTTCAAAAACATCAGCACTTTTCCCCCTGGTACAGCACTTTTCAAATGGCCCATTTCACCCTTCAAAAACATCAGCACTTTTCCCCCTGGTACAGCACTTTTCCAATGGCCTATTTCACCCTTCAAAAACATCTGTACTTTTCCCCCTGGTACAGCACTTTTCCAATGGCCTATTTCACCCTTCAAAAACATCTGCACTTTTCCCCCTGGTACAGCACTTTTCCAGCGGCCTATTTTCTGATGTTTTATTTTAATCAAGACAATGAGAATGTGAACATTAGAACTCTTTACTGAAAAGAAAGATGAACTGTTTCATATGGTCACGTGGTCAGTGACACAAGACCACAACATCACTACAGTAGTTAAAACATTAACAAATCCCTGAACTTGTTGACTGTTTAGCCCCCTGCTACATGACTTTCAATGAATAAACAACTCAATCAGTACAGAAAGTTTTATTGTAACAAAAAAACCAAAAGGTCCTATGGGTTTCCACCCCTCACTTCACTACTGTCGACAAATGTATTTATATCACATTATGCTTGTACAAACTTCAGACTAAATATTACTGACAAATGATTAATTCTGGAAAAAATCTATATGCATACAGTTTCTAAGGCTTTCAAATTTTGAACAGATATTTTTGCAACCCAAGAAATTCCAAAAATACTGATATGTTAATGAAGTTAACACTGACACAAGTGTGTATCACGTGGTCTGTTTACACCGACACAGGTGTGTATCACATGGTCTGTTTACACTGACACAGGTGTGTACATGGTCTGTTTACACTGACACAGGTGTGTACATGGTCTGTTAACACTGACACAGGTGTGTATCACATGGTCTGTTTACACTGACAAAGGTGTGTACATGGTCTGTTTACACTGACACAGGTGTGTACATGGTCTGTTTACACTGATACAGGTGTGTACATGGTCTGTTTACACTGACACAGGTGTGTACATTGTCTGTTTACACTGACACTAGTGTGTACATGGTCTGTTTACACTGACACAGGTGTGTACGTGATCTGTTAACACTGACACGGGTGTGTACATGGTCCGTTTACACCAACACAGGTGTGTACATGGTCTGTTTACACTGACACAGGTGTGTATCACGTGGTCTGTTTACACTGACACAGGTGTATACATGGTCTGTTAACACTGACACAGGTGTGTACATGGTCTGTTTACACTGACACAGGTGTGTACATGATCTGTTAACACTGACACAGGTGTGTACATGGTCTGATTACACTGACACAGATGTGTACATGGTCTGTTTACACTGACACAGGTGTGTACATGGTCTGTTTACACTGTCACTGGTGTGTACTTGACCTGTTTACACTGACACAGGTGTGTACATGGTCTGTTTACACTAACACAGGTGTGTACATGGTCTGTTTGTCTTGACACTGGTGTGTACATGGTCTGTTAAAATGAAATTGGACAGTTCTGCTGACCGACAGAATTAGAGTTAGTCACCATTGCACAATATCTGGAGCCTGAAAATCAATAAAAAAGAAGGTTTAAGAAGGGAGACAACCAGGATGTTTATACAGTGTCAATATAAATGTTTTTGAATTAGCATTTATTAAAGTTACTCTGTATGAACACACAGATAGATGATATGATTAACATGCACTCCACCTTACTAAGTGAGAATTAATAAAAATTAAAATCCTTCTATGACAATATCAAAGAAAGCCTTTTTCAATCATATAAAAGGTATTATTATGTATGTGTTTAACGAAACCTACCTGATGGACGAGTCATACTTTATCCAACACACAGAGTGCCACCCCACACACCACCAACATCATTCCAAAACATGTGTCTACAGGCAGGCAACAGAAATCATGGTTATTATTACATGTCAGAGCCAAAAAATAATGACTCTTCAACTTAATATCAAATCAAAATCTAACATACGCAAACAAAAAGAAAATCCAGGATAAGATGGAGCAAGTATCTATACAATTTAAGAAAAAGATAAGTCACTGTGAATGGTATCTTCACAACAACTGCTGTACAAAACACGTTATGTAAAACACCTTCTCTACAACACCTCAACTATAATGCCCTCCTCTAAACATCCCCTCTCTACATCATTCCATTTACAACAGTTACTACACAACACTTCCTCTCCAACACACCTCCTCAAACAACCCCCTCTACAACACCCCCTCAACAACATTCCCTATATAACATGACACTTCCTCTCCAACACACCTCCTAAAACAACCCCCTCTACAACACCCTGTCAACAACATCCCCTATATAACACGACACTTCCTTTCCAACACACCTCCTAAAACAACTCCCTCTAGAACAGTTACTACACAACACTTCCTCTCCAACACACCTCCTAAAACAACCCCCTCTACACCATCCTCTCTAGAACAGTTACTACACAACACTTCCTCTCCAACACACCTCCTAAAACAACCCCCTCTCCACCATCCTCTCTAGAACAGTTAGTACACAACACTTCCTCTCCAACACACCTCCTAAAACAACCCCCTCTACACCATCCTCTCTAGAACAGTTAGTACACATCACTTCCTCTCCAACACACCTCCTAAAACAACCCCTCTCTCTACACCATCCTCTCTCCTAGACACAGTAACACACCTCCTAAAACAACCCCCTCTACACCATCCTCTCTACACACGACACTTCCTTTCCAACACACCTCCTAAAACAACTCCCTCTAGAACAGTTACTACACAACACTTCCTCTCCAACACACCTCCTAAAACAACCCCCTCTACACCATCCTCTCTAGAACAGTTAGTACACAACACTTCCTCTCCAACACACCTCCTAAAACAACCCCCTCTACACCATCCTCTCTAGAACAGTTACTACACAACACTTCCTCTCCAACACACCTCCTAAAACAACCCCCTCTACACCATCCTCTCTAGAACAGTTAACACACCTCCTAAAACACAACACTTCCTCTCCAACACACCTCCTAAAACAACCCCCTCTACACCATCCTCTCTAGAACAGTTAGTACACAACACTTCCTCTCCAACACACCTCCTAAAACAACCCCCTCTACACCATCCTCTCTAGAACAGTTACTACACAACACTTCCTCTCCAACACACCTCCTAAAACAACCCCCTCTACACCATCCTCTCTAGAACAGTTACTACACAACACTTCCTCTCCAACACACCTCCTAAAACAACCCCCTCTACACCATCCTCTCTAGAACAGTTAGTACACAACACTTCCTCTCCAACACACCTCCTAAAACAACCCCCTCTACACCATCCTCTCTAGAACAGTTAGTACACAACACTTCCTCTCCAACACATCTCCTAAAACAACCCTCTCTACACCATCATCTCTAGAACAGTTAGTACACAACACTTCCTCTCCAACACATCTCCTAAAACAACCCTCTCTACACCATCCTCTCTAGAACAGTTAGTACACAACACTTCCTCTCCAACACACCTCCTAAAACAACCCCCTCTACACCATCCTCTCTAGAACAGTTAGTACACAACACTTCCTCTCCAACACACCTCCTAAAACAACCCCCTCTACACCATCCTCTCTAGAACAGTTAGTACACAACACTTCCTCTCAACAACATACCCTATATAACATGACACTTCCTCTCCAACACACCTCCTAAAACAACCCCCTCTACACCATCCTCTCTAGAACAGTTACTACACAACACTTCCTCTCCAACACACCTCCTAAAACAACCCCCTCTACACCATCCTCTCTAGAACAGTTAGTACACAACACTTCCTCTCCAACACACCTCCTAAAACAACCCCCTCTACACCATCCTCTCTAGAACAGTTACTACACAACACTTCCTCTCCAACACACCTCCTAAAACAACCCCCTCTACACCATCCTCTCTAGAACAGTTAGTACACAACACTTCCTCTCCAACACACCTCCTAAAACAACCCCCTCTACACCATCCTCTCTAGAACAGTTAGTACACAACACCCCATCAACAACATACCCTATATAACATGACACTTCCTCTCCAACACACCTCCTAAAACAACCCCCTCTACACCATCCTCTCTAGAACAGTTAGTACACAACACTTCCTCTCCAACACACCTCCTAAAACAACCCCCTCTACACCATCCTCTCTAGAACAGTTAGTACACAACACTTCCTCTCCAACACACCTCCTAAAACAACCCCCTCTACACCATCCTCTCTAGAACAGTTAGTACACAACACTTCCTCTCCAACACACCTCCTAAAACAACCCCCTCTACACCATCCTCTCTAGAACAGTTAGTACACAACACTTCCTCTCCAACACACCTCCTAAAACAACCCCCTCTACACCATCCTCTCTAGAACAGTTACACAACACTTCCTCTCCAACACACTCTAAACACACAACACCCTCTCCAACACACCTCCTAAAACAACCCCCTCTACACCATCCTCTCTAGAACAGTTACTACACAACACTTCCTTTCCTCCTCTCAACACACCTCCTAAAACAACCCCCTCTACACCATCCTCTCTAGAACAGTTAGTACACAACACTTCCTCTCCAACACACCTCCTAAAACAACCCCCTCTACACCATCCTCTCTAGAACAGTTAGTACACAACACTTCCTCTCCAACACACCTCCTAAAACAACCCCCTCTACACCATCCTCTCTAGAACAGTTACTACTCAAAACTTCCTCTCCAACACACCTCCTAATACAACCCCCTCTACACCATCCTCTCTAGAACAGTTAGTACACAACACTTCCTCTCCAACACACCTCCTAAAACAACCCCCTCTACACCATCCTCTCTAGAACAGTTAGTACACAACACTTCCTCTCCAACACACCTCCTAAAACAACCCCCTCTACACCATCCTCTCTAGAACAGTTAGTACACAACACTTCCTCTCCAACACACCTCCTAAAACAACCCCCTCTACACCATCCTCTCTAGAACAGTTACTACACAACACTTCCTCTCCAACACACCTCCTAAAACAACCCCCTCTACACCATCCTCTCTAGAACAGTTAGTACACAACACTTCCTCTCCAACACACCTCCTAAAACAAACCCCTCTACACCATCCTCTCTAGAACAGTTAGTACACAACACTTCCTCTCCAACACATCTCCTAAAACAACCCCCTCTACACCATCCTCTCTAGAACAGTTACTACTCAATACTTCCTCTCCAACACACCTCCTAAAACAACCCCCTCTACACCATCCTCTCTAGAACAGTTACTACACAACACTTCCTCTCCAACACACCTCCTAAAACAACCCCCTCTACACCATCCTCTCTAGAACAGTTACTACACAACACTTCCTCTCCAACACACCTCCTAAAACATCCTCCTCTAGACATTCCTCTCTTGTACTGTTATTAACAACCCCCTCTACACCATCCTCTCTAGAACAGTTAGTACACAACACTTCCTCTCCAACACACCTCCTAAAACAACCCCCTCTACACCATCCTCTCTAGAACAGTTAGTACACAACACTTCCTCTCCAACACATCTCCTAAAACAACCCCCTCTACACCATCCTCTCTAGAACAGTTAGTACACAACACTTCCTCTCCAACACACCTCCTAAAACAACCCCCTCTACACCATCCTCTCTAGAACAGATAGTACACAACACTTCCTCTCCAACACAACACACCTCCTAAAACAACCCCCTCTACACCATCCTCTCTAGAACAGTTAGTACACAACACTTCCTCTCCAACACACCTCCTAAAACAACCCCCTCTACACCATCCTCTCTAGAACAGTTACTACACAACACTTCCTCTCCAACACACCTCCTAAAACAACCCCCTCTACACCATCCTCTCTAGAACAGTTAGTACACAACACTTCCTCTCCAACACATCTCCTAAAACAACCCCCTCTACACCATCCTCTCTAGAACAGTTAGTACACAACACTTCCTCTCCAACACATCTCCTAAAACAACCCCCTCTACACCATCCTCTCTAGAACAGTTAGTACACAACACTTCCTCTCCAACACACCTCCTAAAACAACCCCCTCTACACCATCCTCTCTAGAACAGTTAGTACACAACACTTCCTCTCCAACACATCTCCTAAAACAACCCCCTCTACACCATCCTCTCTAGAACAGTTACTACTCAATACTTCCTCTCCAACACACCTCCTAAAACAACCCCCTCTACAACACCCTGTCAACAACATCCCCTATATAACACGACACTTCCTCTCCAACACACCTCCTAAAACAACCCCCTCTACACCATCCTCTCTAGAACAGTTAGTACACAACACTTCCTCTCCAACACACCTCCTAAAACAACCCCCTCTACACCATCCTCTCTAGAACAGTTAGTACACAACACTTCCTCTCCAACACACCTCCTAAAACAACCCCCTCTACACCATCCTCTCTAGAACAGTTAGTACACAACACTTCCTCTCCAACACACCTCCTAAAACAACCCCCTCTACACCATCCTCTCTAGAACAGTTACTACACAACACTTCCTCTCCAACACACCTCCTAAAACAACCCCCTCTACACCATCCTCTCTAGAACAGTTACTACACAACACTTCCTCTCCAACACACCTCCTAAAACAACCCCCTCTACACCATCCTCTCTAGAACAGCTACTACACAACACTTCCTCTCTAACACAACTTCTAATACAACCCCCTCTACAACACCTTATTTACAATAAATACTCCACAACACTTACTGTTAAAAACCTACTCCACTACACTTACTATATGACTTCTCCACGACACTAACACATCTATTCCACAACACCAACCATACAACATTTACACAAAAATCCTACTCTACAGACACCACATACTTTACAACACCTACTCTTCAACACCTATCCTACAATACCTCCTTTTCAACACCTACCAATACAATACCTTCCTTTCAACACCTACTATTATACCACAACACTTACCCCGTAACACTTTCTCTCCAACACCTGCCCTACAACCCCTACACCATAACACCTTTCCTTCAACACCTATCCTACAACACCTACCCCACAACACCTACCCCTCAACCCACAACACCTACCCCATTACACCTACCCCTCAACACCTACCCCACAACACCTATCTCACAACACCTACCCCTCAACCCACAACACCAACCCCACAACACCTACCCCTCAACCCGCAACACCTAAACCACAACACCTATCCCACAACACCTCTCCCACAACACCTACCCCTAAACCCACAACACCTACCCCACAACACCTATCCCACAACACCTACCTTACAACACCTACCCTACAACATCTACTCTTCAACACTGAATTTCTTGATACTCATTCCAAGATCTATGATACAGATTCTCCACTCACATCCTAACTGGCAATGTATAATATTTAAGCTACTGTATATGATACTTACCCCTGGATGGAGGTTTCTCCCCCATCAGTGTGCCTGATATGGATGTAAAGATAAAGGTCAAGGAATTGGTGATGGGGACAGCCAAAGATAGATCTGGAAAAAATGTATCCAAATTAAGATCGCCATCTAGAAAGTAAAAGCTGAGGACAACAGCTGTTAGCATTCATTTCAACAAACATTATCATGATTGTGGACTATACAGTTTTCAAATCTTTCAACCATTTAAGTTTTGGTAGATTTTGGTCATAAACACAAGCATTTAACCAAACATGATGTTTTCAATTTGGCCCAGACATCTATTCCCTCAGGAGAGCTATTTACCTAATTATGTTATCAATTACCAAAGATGCATACCAAATTAAGGTTTTTTTTTCAATGAGAAATAAGACAGTGACTATGGACAATGTATTGCTGTACACACTGCCTTGCTTCAAAATGTGGTCTCATAACTTTCTCAAACTAGAAAAGAACAAGCAGATGAAATGTTTAGCAGACACACAAATTTACACTGTAGCCTTGCTTTGGAAATATAACAACACACTAAGCAATGGCCCTGTCGTTCTGTTGTGCCCAAATTGCATCAACCAGGCCAATTTTTTGTATGTTTTATGCAGCACCAGTTTCTCAGAAACTAATCATAAAATAAATTTCTAAACAGATTTTTCAGTAAGAATAAAAAGAACACATTCAGCATCCCCAACAAACATTTCTTGTATTAAAATGTCCTCCATGTTATACTTCTTGCTTTCTGGATGATGGACGGTACAATTCTGATTTAACAGGTGGTATTAATGCCCATTTACAAACTTCCTGCCAATATCTGACATGATGAGCAGGAAAAAATGAAAGACATACAGAACTGTACATGTAATGCAAAAATCTTAGTTTCTTGTATAAAAAGATTTATTTCTGTCTGTATACTGATTGATTAAAATCAAATTTACAAATTAGTATAAACTGTAGGTAGTGTGTCAGAACGACAGTACCTGCTGTAGCCAGTGTTAGGTAGTATATCACAGATCCCCCTTGATTGATGCAGAATGGAACCAGATACTGTAACAAAAATTTAATACTAGGTATATAACCATAAACTTTCATAGATTTTTATTAGAATTTCTATTAAGTGATGTTGCACTCATTTACTCTAACTGGTGACTGCTAAAATCTAACCGGGTCTAGAAGTTGATGTTATCAAGGTGTTTAGTATATAAACTACCACCACAGCAAATAGGGCTTGAAATATCTCATACATAAGATTTGTACTTGGCCAATATCAAAAGAAAAGACATTTAAGTACTAGCCAAAACATTGAAACAGAAATCATGTCAAAAATGGTGGTGATTAGATAGGATTCTGTTCAGTAGAGATGATCAATGAATAAACATAAGGATCTGAATCCTTGCCTTATAATCTGGGTGTGAATAACAACACAAACCTTCCAGTTAAAAAATAGAAATTTGAGTTCTGATAAGAATTGTTGAATCCTGTTATGCTCCCTGATCCTTTCTACACCCTTGCTGCCTCTCTTGAGAAGAGGATTGGTTCCTCCCCACATTGTGGCTACCACCACAAACCAGAAAGCAGATGTGTCCATCAGTTTTACCAGCTCAGGCTACAAATAAAAATTTGGCGCTTCTTAATTGTATCATCCTCAACAAGAACAACCAAGATAAAAACGATGAAGAGATTACAAAGGAAGCAATCATGTGTACTCTGACAAGTACAGGATTTTTTTTCAACTCTGTCTCTTTATTGAAACTGGAGGGAATATTAGTTTATAAACATGTTTCTGAGAGTTCTGGACCAGCTGTTTTATCAGAATTTACAACCTGCTATGGTACAAAGGTTACTCGCTATCGTTAGCATTTCTAATGCTATACAATACTATGATTGGGTGTAAACAATTGTATTTTACTCAACCTTATAGTGCACTGACTTGTTCACCAAAGGAGAGTGCTATACTGATAGCTTGTTTACCTTACTGTATAGGGAGAAACTTTTCAGAAGATTAGCTTTTTTGTGGACTGGTAAATGGACAAACTGCCTTTATCTTTGTGAGGCTATAGCGAAGAAATTAAGTTATCTAGCCGTGTTGTGCACATAATCCAATTTTCTCAAAAAGTCCATCACTAATCTTTTCAAAAATAAGCAGTAGTATAAAGCTTGATGATTTTCCAAATGACTGTGCCATTTATTGAGACAAGTAACTTTTGTCTTCTTTTGATATCGTACGTAAACTTTCTGTCAGTTCAAACAAAATTAAATAAATATCCTTGAAACTGTTCGATCGATACAAAATTATGCATGTCAAAAAAAAAAGTGCCTGTTAGTAGTGGCATTTTTTGGGGGAAAAAAGTTGATTATAAAATTATTTGTCTTCTGAAACACTAACTGCACTGTAATACATGTTACTCGTCTGTTGAGAAATCACAACATGTTAAATGTAGCCCATGAAAAACATGTTTGCTTGTGTATTGTCGGAAGTAAGCATTGACATATCAGCATTCCAAGTGTGGATTGAGACTTAATATGACTACAGGTTAATGCTTGATTCATGCAATTCTTGGGAGTCTTAATATGATTATCTGAACAAAATGTGAATTTAAATGACGTTCTTTAACAATACAGATGCTGGCATTCTGTGGTCCGTATAGGGGCCTTATATTGTGTCAGCTGCCAAGAGCAGTATTACAGAAAGATGTGAAAGAAATCGCACAAAATCAATGCTAATTAAGTGACATGTATGTGTATGACTTAGCACTATCAATTGCTTACAATGGTCATTTACGGCCTACTACCCACAGTATTAAATGTCCATGTGAATATTTGTGACCACATGGAGGGATTAATGCAACATCAATGACTTTATCAATAGTTACACACACTGCCTTGCGATATGTTTGAAAAAATCTGATTGTAAGTAAAACAAGACTAGAAAGGATTCACATTATCACTAGACAGAAAATGATCGTTTTTATTGAAAAAATCACTTGCTCAAGCTATCCACCAGAGGTTTACCATATTTTGAAAAACAAAATGCAGGTTCAGCCATTTACAACTGAACTCTATATTGTATACCGCTTTCAGCCCAAACTATGAAAAAAAAATCTTCAAATAGGTGGCATTAAAAAGCTGAATAATTTATAATTGATTCATGCAAGTTTTGTGATAGTTCATTTTAAATTTATTGGTATTATTTTTGTTACGAAAATGAAATTCACTATCGAAGGTCAAGAAGTGGCTTATCAGGCCTGTCAGCACAAAAGTGAATGGGGTTTAGGTAAATAATGTTAGATGATATAACAGGGAGAATAGAACCCTTCACGGCTCCGGATACAAACTTAGAGTTATTCCGACTCCAAGCCAATGTATTAAAAACGACAGAACATCAGAATAATTCGGACTAGGAACACATTACCGCCGTATGGCTGCCTTATTCTCCTCTAGCTTTTTACTTTGGAGTGGTCATCGACACATGATGTATACTGTAGTAGGGGACTATTTAAAAGTAAATCTTATTTTAAGTCGGTACATATATATGTAACAACGAACAAAAGCCTTAGGTTTGTGTATATTGTTATGTATAGATGTACCGACTTAAACTTTACTTAACTTGGATTTTTGTTCGAGTTGTTCACGTTCCGGATACAGGTGCGTGTGACTACAGCGAGTAAAATGAGATTTCTACTAGGCTAGAAACTCGCCCTGTTCATATGTACTTTCTAGCTTAGTGACAGTCCTAGATTACCTGTAACAGAACCGTGATATTTCAGGTTAGAACTTTGTTCGTGAATGAGCTTGAAAAGGTGTCGTCTGGTTAAATCCTGGTCAGAGAAATGCTTCTGCTTGGGGTTCTACTAATTACAGCCTGGTAGAGGCCGTAATTCTCGATTGCGCCCTGCTGTTTCCGACACAGTCCGGTACTGAGCTCCCAGAGTTACTGCCCTTCGTTTTCACTCTGTCAGGTATAGCGACTAGGTTGACAGCTGATGGGACCGTGAAAGAGTTCTGTCCGTAGTGTTCTGATCGCCCAGAGTTATTGCCCTTCGTTAGACTATGTCAGTACGACGGTATAGAGATAAGGTTGGTGGCCGAAAATATGCTCGCCGTAACTAAAACTGACCACAAAGACTTTTATTACCAGTTCTGTATCATAAATCTGAACGATGAAGATGGAAAATTCTCAAAACTTGTAAGAGTTGCGGATGTTTAAAATATGTGATATTTGGATGAACAAAGGGTTTTAATCTTGATATTTGCATATTTGGAACCAGAGACGTATATATATGTGATATATACGTCTCTTTTGGAACCGACTGGGAAATATTTCAGTTCATGAAAGCAGGGACGTATAATACGTCCCTGGTGAAAGTGGGAATTCCCATGGCACACTTATTTGTGTACAAATACCTGTTTACGCCATAAAACGGGATACAAATGTTAAAATAGAACTGTCATTATATGGTGTATGCGTAGCAATGTAGCCTACCCACTTCAAATTGTCAGTTACTGCCAACATTTACTTTGGATTGATATTATATGATCTATGAATACGTTACTTAACACTAACTAGTCATGTCTCCGCAAGAGGAGGGAAGTCCTACTGGAGATGGGGGATCATTTACCAAATGAGCATGTTCAAATTTTGGCGGGAAAATGACAGATTGACGCCGGCACTATAAGTTTTAAAAAAATCAAGCCGCAAAACAAACCAGGTGTTTAATCGTTAATCAATAATCATTACAATAAAACTTGTACGTTACATTCATTGTTGTCATTATCGTGTATAAATATACCCGATTTAAATTTTGACTAATCACAACTAGTTCCGGTCCTATCTTCATGCAGCAACACAACAAAAATGGCTGCGCACTATAAACTTAGATGTAGTCTGGCGGGTCATCAAAAAGATATACGTGCGGTTGCACCAGCCCTTCTGCCACAGGGATCTATACTCTCCGGATCCCGAGATGTAACAGCGAAAATTTGGGTGCCTAACGAGTAGGTTGTCATCGGTATATAATGTGTTGTAAACATTTGTTGTTATCTCTGTTATGACTAGACATGAATATGACGAGGGTATTTTGGATGGGATGAAAATGTCCCAGATAGGAGTCGTTCCCAGACCTGACCCCATTGCCATTAACTGCCTATACTGAACGAAGATTTCTAGAATGGAATCGATAGATCGTTTGAAAATTCCAGTGTAATAGTTCAGTATGAAATATGAATACCGGGCCATAACATTCTACTAAAACTGGTTTTAACTCGATTGGTCGCCAATGTTAACAGCCAGGAATCCGCTGCTCTTCGGAGATTGTCGTCCAGGTCTGGTTCTAAAATGCCTTAGCCAATCATAAGGTCTTCTGGCAAATGTAAACACGCAGAAAACATCCATTACAACATTAGATATCAACAAATTTTGATCAAATGAATTCACAAATGTTTCATACTGAGGTTTTGTTTCATCATAGAAATTTGATGTTTTCTGACACTCATAAACATCATAACGCTTACAAACAAATCATGATCACGAAAAAAAAAATCAACAGGGACATTTACTTGACGGCATGTATATGACATAACTGTCAAGTCACCTGATTTTTGCAGGTCACACTCGAAAATTTATACCCGCCTGAAGACAATGACCTGAGCAAGAACTTCTTTTTCACAAAATCTTTAGTTTACACATGCAATAGTGAAAAATTGTCACACTATTTTATTGAGTTACATTCCCAATGATTGGTATTGCAAATTATGGTCATGGCAAGCGCCCTCAATCCAGACACTGGGGCACGTGTGTACACAAAGGAGGTGTGAACCACTTCTGATAGGCCTAACCCCTTAGGGCAAGCATTACCGCCCCCATCAGCTGTCAAGCTTATGGCCATACCATTCTCTAGCTTATCCTGCAGTAATTTTTGGATTACAATTTACATGCGCAGTGCTTTGTCAAACCTGATGTTGATTAAAACTCTAACTGTTGCTTGCTTCATACATCTCTGTTTTATTTTAATAAAGTTATTATTTTAAAAACTGTTTAAAATGTATCATCAACAATAAAATTGTTGAGGTATTATTTTGTTAAAAGTGAACTGCTAGTGATACTAACTATATTTTCCATGGTAAAGCACATGCAATCGACAATGTATCCTGTGTTGATGGTATATTCTTAAGTGGACTGTTGAAAATTTGGGACAGGAATACAAAGGTTCTCGGGGTTAGAAATGAACAAAATAAAAGCACAACCTTAGATGAAGTTAGTGATAATGAGAAGACATTTCTTTACCAGAGACAATGCATTCGATTACTTCATATCATAAGTTTCATTTTTATAAGTTCTATATAATTTCATTTTTGTCAGTATACCTGCAAAAATGCTTTGCTAAATCACTAACGAAAAAGTGAAGATTTTAAGAAAAACATATTGTTCACCACAAAGATAGATATACATGTCAGTATGTTAATTTATCATGCTTTTATTTCTTGTCCTAAAAATCTCAGATAGTTCCTTATGCAATAACTAAAGACAGATCTCAGAGGACACAGTTATACAATATCTTAATCTTTGCTTTCACATGCCTGTAAAATCCTTGCTACTTATTAATGCCTTGGCTATATTTTCAGCTAATTAGATATGTTGTGTGCATACAAATGTGACAATCAGAGGGGATTAAGTTGTAATTTCAATTTCCATCTATTATGATAATTGAATCAGGATGAAAGTGTAAAATGATGTTGACAAATGTATTAAAAGTTGTTTAACTGGGAAAAAAAAGATTTTTTTTTTCCATTGTGTTACATTAAAAAGATTTTTTTTTACAAAATATTGTCCTTGCATTATGACCAGTTTTGGAGTAACCATCAAACTGGTCATTACCAGTTTGGTCACATGGCCCCTTTACAGGTACAATATAAGGAATGTAGTCAGAGCCACTCACATTTGTAGAATGATATATGCTTCTGATTATTTGGTGTAATACAAGTGCAAGACACTGAATGCACTCAATCATTTCACTAGTTTTGAACCTTGTAAGATGTTTTTTGCATTTGTTTGAACTTTCTTTTTTCCGGGAAAATAAAAAAAAAATCTCTGCAATACAAGTGTTGTTAGTTTCTATTTGATTTGAAATAAATCTACCAAACCCCATCAAAATCCAGAGGATTACTTTGCCTATTTATTGCACTTTATTTTCTGATATTTGTGTTGTATAATCAATATGTAACAGATAGATAAAGAATAATGTTTTTTTTTTTATTTTTTTTATTTTGTTGTTTAAAAGAAACAAATTCTATTTTGTACAAGTTTAATAGTTCCAATAACAGAAGTTCATGTGATCAATCATACATGAAAGCTGAAGCCCCCTGTGTGGGGCCTCTTGACTTTTTTGCAACAGATGCAAATCAGTATGGCCAAACGTGAAAGGGCTATAAAATGAGTTTGCCAAAAACCAGACTCTTCCAGTTCAACTCTTTCAGCTGCGGAGCAGGTGAATGATAGAGGCCCTTAGGACCTCTTATTTTCATTTAGCCAGCTAATAACATATTGATTTTTCCCTGAATAAATTTTCTATCAAATGTACTGAAAACATCAGTGAAAGATCTTGCATGTAATATCCAAGATTAATTGTAGTAAAAATGATGTGTGATATGGGTTACTTCACTCTTAATTTTATATTCCAGGTCTGACCCAGGTTTCCGAGAAGCCCATGTGATGAGCGGACACACCAACTTTATTTCATCAGTTTGTTACCTGCCACCAGATGGCACCTACTCCCATGGTCTGATATTAACAGGAAGCAATGATTCAACTATACTCGCATTCACTCTGGATTCTCCTGAACCAGTTTATAAACTAACTGGACACTCTAATACAGGTAATTGTTGTTCGGGACTCAGTTTTTAAGCATCATCAGATGATTTTTAGTCCCATTACGAAGAGATAAATTGATCTTCAAAATTTTAGTGAGATTATGAAACCAGAACCCCAATATTTATATTCAAAAAATCACTTTGGAATCTGGTGAAGCAGAGCCTGAAGATTGGGGCCCAGTTAGGGGTACTGGACAAAAATGTTTTAAGACCCTTTCTGCTGTATTGAGGAGAGGATTTTGTCCAACTTAAGGTCATTATAAGCCTAAAGCATTTTAGGAGGATCAGACACAGAACCTTGTATCCAATAAGGTATATCAAACTGAATATAAACATTTTTGTGATCATGAGTCTGATAAAGTCAGGTGAGAATTACAGGTCTGTGGGCCCTTCTGTTTAAGTAATCTAGTATGAGTTATTAAGGAAAATGTTGCTATAATGATTGTTTAATTCAATAAAAATTAAAACATTTGGGAATGTTTTGAAATTGAAGTCAGTATACTGTGCTTTTATTATTTCTTCATTTATGTTAGAAAGTAAAAGAAAATGTAAAATTACTGTAAAAATGCGTCCAAATTGTCAAAAACAGAACTGTTGGTGCTATGTGGTAATCATCTGTTACTAAATTGAGCAACTTTTTTTAAACAGTTTGTTCATTGGCTTCTGGAAAGTTTGGAACCTTGCTGAGTGGCTCTTGGGATAAAACTGCGAAAGTTTGGCTGAATAAAAAATGTGTCATGACCTTAGAAGGTAAAATTAAAACAGCTTGACTAATGATAATAAGATTAAGATAAAAATAACTGGTCACATTTTTAAACATTGATTTAATGTACTAGGTCATTAGTTGATTACGATACATTTTTGTACTGTAAAATCATCTATTTTCATATGGCTGAAACTTCAAGGTTATACCAGGTACATATTTGTTGGCACTTGATTTCTCTGTAAAATTTTGTTCATGGAATCCACTAGTACTGTAATCTGTTTCAAATTTTATCTGCTTATCATTTTATGTACATATAAATTTAGGGATTCAGAGTGCTGACAAATTAACAAAAACAACTCCCTACAAAATTAATGATTTAATCCTAACACATTGGTTGAATCAAACCTTTTTGCCAGTAAAGGTCCATATTATCAATATTTGGTACTAGTATTTCTTACGACTTTTCCAGTAAAACATTGTTCCACCCCAGCTTTCGTTGAAGGTACCAACCCATAGAATTAAATTGATTATTTTTATGCTCCCCTAAAATTTGCGGGGGAGCTTATGGTCACTGCCTTGTCCTTTCATCTGTCTGTCCTTTTGTGTTTAGAGTGTAGCTTTGCTCACAGGGAGCAAGGATCATGAAACTTGGTGATACATTGATCATACTAAGATAATGTTCAATTGACCAAATTCAGGGCCAGCAACCCCTTAATTACAGAGTAATTACCCTTCATTTAGATTTTGTGTCTAGAGCAAAACTTAACGTTGCTTTTATTTAAGCAAGGTACTGAAACTTGGTGTATACATTGCTAAAACAAAGACAATGTGCTGTATACCAATGTTAAGCCCTAAAACCCCTTAAATACACAGTTAATGCATGCTGGTAAAATTTTGTGACCAAAGCATTTCTTTGTCGTCATTTAAACTAGGTTATTGAAGCATGATGTATACATCAGTCAAACAAAAACAAGGTGCAGTGTAGCAAATTTAGGGTCCATGACCCCTCAGTTACAGAGTTATTGCCCTTTGTTAAAATCTTGTGTCATGAGCAAAGCTTTGCTTGCATTAAAACTAGGATCATGAAACTTGATGTATACATTGGTCATATTAAGACAATGTGCAGTGTATCAAATTCAGGTCATGCAACCCTTTATTTACAGAATAATGGCCCTTTGTGAAAATGTTGTGTCTAATAAAATAGTTTTCGTAGAACATTCATCAATTTCATTGATACTTTTGTCTCAGTAATTATAGGCAAGAAATGGAACAACAGATATAAGTGGTTTATTTTGGAGTCCTGGGGCCAAGGAAATGTTTTAGTGAAATAGCCCGTACCATAAATTAAATTGAAAGTAAATAAGCATGATTATCATTTGTTTATATTGTGTGTTGTTGATCATGGTTGAACTATGTAGAAACCATTTCAGGTCATGAGTCTGCAGTATGGGCTGTAGCCATCCTCCCAGAACAGGGATATATGCTGACTGGGTCAGCTGATAAAAGTATCAAAATATGGAAGGCTGGCAAGTGTGAGAAGACTCTGACAGGTATGGTCTGTATATTATATAAACAGTTTCTAGATTAAGGTGAAAAGACTGACAGGTATGGTCTGTATATTATCTAATCAGTTTCTAGATTTAGGTGTGAAAACTCTTGACAGGTAAAAAAAACAAAATAGCTGAAAGGTGGCCATCTTGGATTTTGATTATGAAAGATTGATATCCCTTTTTCTGTAGAACTGTAACATAGGTTTTTCTCAAATTTCACGTATGGGTTTCCTTTGTCCCTAGTTGTACCATTAAATTTAGGACTTATCAGAAAAACTAAATGGCTGACAGGTGGCCATCTTAGATTTGGCAATTAAAGATTATCATCACTATTTCTACATGGGCCTCTTATTTCCACTGTGATACATTTTATGTTAGTGATGTTTAATTCTGACTATAAAACAGACCTGGATTGAAACATAAGATTTGCTTACAATTGAGAGGACATGAGGAATCATTGACAACATGACATTCAGGAGGTAGTTTTTTTGTTTATGTATCACTATACTAAATGGTGTGTCGTATCATGTTAAAATGATAAAAAGATATTGAAAATTGAATTTTAAGGCATAATTCTGAATAACATATGTATCTCGAGGAATCATTCTTCCCTGCCCTGTAGGGTCTATATTTTAAATGATTTCCAGGACATGAAGACTGTGTTAGGGATATAGCCGTGCTGAAGAAGCCAGAATTCCTGTCTTGTTCTAATGATGCAACAATACGTCATTGGTCTATCACCGGGGATTGTATCGGTGTGTACTATGGTCATGAGAACTTTGTGTACAGCTTAAGTGTACTGCCAAATGGTGAAGACTTTGTGAGCAGTGGAGAAGACCGCACAGTGCGGGTGTGGCAGGGAGGTCAGGTAGTCCAGACCATTGCTCATCCTTCTATGTCTGTCTGGTCTGTTTGTGTTCTTGCTAATGGAGACATTGTATCGGGTTCAAGGTAGGTGTCCAACTTTTCTCTTAACAGTTATACCAAAGTTTAAGAGAGACATATATGTAGGTGTTTTTAGATGACATTTAAAAATTACGTGAGACACAATATGGCAGTCATGGAGGCCATTTTGTAACATGATTGCGCAATAATGGTTTTCCTGTGTAACACCTATTTCAAACTTCCTCTCAAGTTCCACCAGTAGGAGTGAGCTTGCATGAAATGATTCTGAGATGGTCCTGACAAAGTGCTGTTATTTTTCGGGTGTGTCTGAAATCCAATATGGCTGCCATCTTGAAAAACATATTTTAACTTCTTCTCCACTTCCACTGGTGCTATTGAGCTAAAATTGGTAGGAATTTTTAGGAGAGGTAGCCAACAAAGTGTTGTTATTATTCGACCTTGTTAAAACTTCGATACCGCAGCCAGGGAGGCCATTTTGTAACATGATTGTGCAATCATGGTTTTCCTGTGCAACACCTATTTCAAACTTCCTCTCAAGTTCCACCAGTAGGAGTGAGCTTGCATGAAATGATTCTGAGATGGTCCTGACAAAGTGCTGTTATTTTTCGGGTGTGTCTGAAATCCAATATGGCTGCCATCTTGAAAAACATATTTTAACTTCTTCTCCACTTCCACTGGTGCTATTGAGCTAAAATTGGTAGGAATTTTTAGGAGAGGTAGCCAACAAAGTGTTGTTATTATTCGACCTTGTTAAAACTTCGATACCGCAGCCAGGGAGGCCATTTTGTAACATGATTGTGCAATCATGGTTTTCCTGTGCAACACCTATTTCAAACTTCGTCTCAAGTTTCACCAGTGAGATTGAGCTTAAATTTGCATGAAATTATCCTGAGATGGTCCTAACAAAGCATTGTTATTTTTCGGGTATGTTTGAAATCCAAGATAGCCACTATGGCCACAATCTCGAAAAACATATTTTAAACTAGTAAAAAAATAACCCTTCCCTCTGCTGAAAGTCTTTGTAGTTAAATGACTGTTAAGGCCCATGGACCTGTTGTTTGTTGAATAATACCCATGGATAATGCCTTATGCATATAATGGGGTCTGTGTCACTCTAAGGAAGATTTGTACTCTATGTTAGGCTTGTACCTTAGTATATTAGTACAGCGTATGGGTGTTGTTCAACAAACAACAGGCCTATGGTACATGTTGTTTAGTACTTTTTTCAGTGTAAGGATCCACCTTCATACCGATTCTGTAGATGTAGTGATAGTTAATATCCTGTCGTGCTTTCAGTGATGGGTTCGTCAGAGTGTTTACAACACATCCTGAGAAGACTGCCTCCACTGACCTGCAGAAAGCATTTGAGGCTGAAGTGGCATCAGCTGAAGTACCCACTCAGATCGGGGAAATTCAGAAACGAGACTTACCAGGCCCAGAAGCTCTCCTTAATCCTGGTAGGTATAGGCTTAACCCTAAACCAACACCTTACTTTCAGAACAATTTTGAGGTCACATGGCCCAAACGGCCAAATTAACCTCTGCCTTGGTGTCCATTGTCAGTCTGTCTGTTCATATCCCTGTTATCAATCAGCACTCCTGTAAACAACCTCTGCTTAAAAATCTCTCAGTGTAGAGTAGTAAATGATACTACAAAGTCTTTTTTTAGTGATACACATACAAGATTACAGTGATCAAATTTGCAAAAACAGTTTTTAAGGATGTAAACAAAACAAACATTTCAAGTAATGCTGTCTGCTAATTCCTTTTGTGTTGTGTTATCTAGGAAACAAAGATGGTCAGACAAAGATGGTAAAAAAAGGTGATAAAGTTGAGATCTATCACTGGGAGGCAGCTGCGACCAAATGGACCAAGATTGGAGATGTAGTGGGATCCAGCGGTGGGACTCAGAAATCATCAGGGAAAACACTTTATGAAGGCAAGGTCAGTATAAACTGTCCAAGAGCAATGTCAGTAATAAATAGTCCAAGGGCAAGGTCAGTATTTAACTCTCCAAGGGCAAGGTCAGTAATAAATAGTCCAAGGGCAAGGTCAGTATTAACTCTTCAAGGGCAAGGTCAGTAATAAATAGTCCAAGGGCAATGACAATAATAAATAGTCAAAGGGCAAGGTCATTGATAAATAGTTCTGAGGGCAAGGTCACTATTAAACTCTCCAAGGGCAATGTCAATAATAAATAGTCCAAGGGCAAGGTCATTGATAAATAGTTCTGAGGGCAAGGTCAGTATTAAACTCTCCAAGGGCAATGTCAATAATAAATAGTCAATGGGCAAGGTCATTGATAAATAGTTCTGAGGGCAAGGTCATTGATAAATAGTTTTGAGGGCAAGGTCATTGATAAATAGTTCTGAGGGCAAGGTCAGTGATAAATAGGCTGAGGGTAAGGTGATCATTGATAAATAGTTCTGTACAAGGTTAGTATTAAACTAAGGACAATTAATTGGTGAAAGCTCAATGTATACATGTGATCTATTAATTTTCAACAATATTATAGCCACGCAGGACACCTGGCTCTAAAGTTGAATTTCAATATTTCTCAAACTGGTAAACCTTGCAATTTGAAACCATGTCATTATTACTAAAAAGGTTTATAAACTGTGGCTAATTTTCAACATTTTACAGCAATAATGAGATATAGGTCTTATCCCAGAGATGTTTCCATGGCAGTGTCCTACTGTGTTTTGTTATTTTTCTGTTTTGAACAGGAGTATGACTTTGTGTTTAGTGTAGACATAGAAGAAGGAAAGCCACCCCTTAAACTGCCTTACAACAAGACAGAGGACCCTTGGTTTGCTGCCCAACGCTTCCTAGAAAAAAACAACCTCAGTCAGTTGTTCTTGGATCAGGTGGCAAACTTCATTACTGAGAACACCGAAGGAGTGACATTTGATCAGACTGCTCCCCAGGTGTCTGATCCTTTCACAGGTGCAGGTCCAAAACAAACCCTCAACAGTTTTAACAAATGTGGTCGGAAGAATCAGTGATTTTTACAATAACAAGACATATCAACATTTTACTTTAATTTCATGAACATTTTTCATTAAGATCTGTTTCCTTAAAAGTATAAGTGAAACCTTAACCAAACTGTTATTATTAATTAATACTTAAATCACTTATTGAACAACTCATTAGTAATTCACATATCAGATATCCTTAAGAATTTACAATTCAGGTTAAGGCAGTGCTGAGAAACTGGATTTTATAAAGATGCTGTCAATTCACCAGCCAACCCTGACACTGTCACCATGACTAATTCTCTGGTGTCTATCAAGTTTGATACTGAATTACACTGACAATTTCCCTTGTTTGTATTATGAACATACCATAATATGTTTTAATTATACAATAATCATATATAACTGTGCTGCATTGAAGGAGGGGGACGTTATATACCTGGAGCCCCAACAGTGGGAGGTAAACAGAACAGCCAGCCACAGCCAGTATCCTATGGAGCAGATCCTTTTACTGGTGAGTAAGGATGGTGTGGAGGTTTATCACTGACTAGGGGCCTGTATCAGTTTACTGGTAAGGATGGTATGGAGGTTCATCACTGACTAGGGGCCTGTATCAGTTTACTGGTGAGTAAGGATTGTATGGAGGTTTATCACTGACTAGGGGCCTGTATCAGTTTACTGGTGAGTAAGGATGGTATGGAGGTTTATCACTGACTAGGAGCCTGTATCAGTTTACTGGTAAGGATGGTATGGAGGTTCATCACTGACTAGGGGCCTGTATCAGTTTACTGGTGAGTAAGGATTGTATGGAGGTTTATCACTGACTAGGGGCCTGTATCAGTTTACTGGTGAGTAAGGATGGTATGGAGGTTCATCACTGACTAGAGGCCTGTATCAGTTTACTGGTGAGTAAGGATGGTATGGAGGTTTATCACTGACTAGGAGCCTGTATCAGTTTACTGGTGAGTAAGGATGGTATGGAGGTTCATCACTGACTAGGAGCCTGTATGTATCAGTTTACTGGTGAGTAAGGATGGTATGGAGGTTCATCACTAACTAGGAGCCTGTATCAGTTTACTGGTGAGTAAGGATGGTATGGAGGTTCATCACTGACTAGGAGCCTGTATCAGTTTACTGGTGAGTAAGGATGGTATGGAGGTTTATCACTGACTAGGAGCCTGTATCAGTTTACTGGTGAGTAAGGATGGTATGGAGGTTCATCACTGACTAGGAGCCTGTATCAGTTTACTGGTGAGTAAGGATGGTATGGAGGTTCATCACTAACTAGGAGCCTGTATCAGTTTACTGGTGAGTAAGGATGGTATGGAGGTTCATCACTGACTAGGAGCCTGTATCAGTTTACTGGTGAGTAAGGATGGTATGGAGGTTCATCACTGACTAGGGGCCTGTATCAGTTTACTGGTGAGTAAGGATGGTATGGAGGTTTATCACTAACTAGGAGCCTGTATCAGTTTACTGGTGAGTAAGGATGGTATGGAGGTTCATCACTGACTAGGAGCCTGTATCAGTTTACTGGTGAGTAAGGATGGTACGGAGGTTCATCACTGACTAGGAGCCTGTATCAGTTTACTGGTAAGGATGGTATGGAGGTTCATCACTGACTAGGAGCCTGTATCAGTTTAAATGACAGTAGCAGACTGTATAAACTGCCCTTTGTCAGCAGTCTGTCCATCTATGTGTATGGGAAGAGACTTGTATACTTGAAATATTACTAATTTCTGTCTCTTCCATCCCATTTCAAATCAGTGTCACGTGATTAGAACTCTCAACAGATTGAGTTTTTGTTCTGTAGTATAGTCTCATAAGTTCTACACCTTATATTTGGATATTCATTGATGAAGATCAAATGGTCATAGCTTATGTGAATTCACTTCACAAGGATGCTTACTTGCATTGAAGCGGGGGCATTGACAGATACTTTTTTCTCTTTTTTTTTGTCTTTTGTAATAGAATATCGAGTTATAAATCAAATTGCATATTATCTATTATGAGGTGGAAGCTTTGAGCAGTATTTTTTTTTCTGGTTAATTCAAGTTTGAAAAACTTGTGAATAATGTTTAACGTAAAAGTATATATTATATAGGTAATCTTACTCTGGTGTGGTTGTAAATGAATCAGTTTTACTGTTTCTAGGTTCTGGAAGTTACCAGCCTGCCACTCAGACAACTGGAGTCACGAACACTTACTTCCCTCAGAAATCCTACGTCACATTCGATACTTCCAATCCAGCCCAGATTATTGGTGAGAAAATTAGACTTGGCAGACACTTAATTTCTCATTTTTTAGCCCACCATTATCAGATGACCTGCTGCGATACCCCTGAGTCAGTAGTCAGTCATCCTTCATCTATTTTGATTCTTATTACATGTATCACCACTTCCAGAGACAGATCACTTTCTTATTTCGTTTCCTTTTTGGTTAAACTGATTGTAATAGAAATTCAGTCATGTTATATAGACACTTAACAGTTTGTCTTGATAACTCTTGATCTCCCGTTACACATGTCAAAGGTTTTGGTAAAACAAAATGTCAGTTAGGTGGCCATCTTAGTTTTATTTTTTAAAATGGCAAATTGTACGGCCAGCTGGAAACTTTTGTCTTTGAAAGACCAAGGCTCTGACTTTCCTGAGCCATAAAGAGGGGCAACACCATCTCCTTCTGTTCTCACATCTTCATCTGTGGTTACCTTAGCCAACACTTTACCAAATGAGTTATCACATCCCCCAGTTTCAGTATGTCACCTACAATATATACCTACTCTGTAATGATGTTTGGGATTAACATGAGTGTTACCAGAATCAATTCTTCATATAACGTTGTCTCTTGGTAAGCTTCAGATCAGATGAGAAATACAGGCCTCTTTGACCTCTTGTTTATCGTTGAATTAATATCCTGTGATTTATACCATATTTATTAGTAATTCTGATCTGTGTTACCTGTTGGTAGGAAAGTTAAAGGAGCTCAACTCTTCAAAGGTAGAAAAGAGTTGTCAGCTGCCAAACGAGAAGCTAGAGGAACTGGCTGACTTAATACAGGGGAAATCTGCCAATGCTGACCACCTCACAACCATGATGAAGATACTAACTTGGCCCCACGGTGAGTATTAGATGACATCAGGTGGACAATCATTTTTACCCATAGTATTTGATATGCTTACTTATATTGTGGTTATGCCCGCTATTGCTATGGTAGTAGACCAAGTATTGTTTGCAAATCTCCTTTAGTCTTTATTGCACAACAAAAATATTTACTGGATGTGTGACATATCTATCAATCTGTTGGTAACTTTTAATACTGTCAAACCTGGTAAACTTAATCACCATTACATGACTTTGTGTTTTCCTCAGCATCAGCTTGAGTGATCATATTTAGAAGAGTTACTGCCCTTGTTTGTTTGTTTACAGTTTTCAACCGATTTTGTTGAAACTTTGTACTCTTTATTGTAGTGATGAGAAATTGTGCTTTCTCAGTGGCATTTTCACTTTGTATCTGTTCTCTTGTTCCTTATATTACTGCTTTGAATCTTCAGGTAATTTTTGTGGTATAACTATACACCATCATCACTTTTGTACTTGCTGTCAGAACAATGTGACTGTAATATGGATATTGTAAATGTTTAGTTTTGCTTCCAAAAGTTTGCTAAATATTGTATCTATTGATGTTAGGGATTAATCAGTAGAAAGAAGTAGGGCATTTGCAGTATTAACCAGACGCTAAAGTGCCTTGAATTTCCAGTTATCACATGTTCAAACAATAAGAATCAGGATGAAAAGTCTCTTTAATGTCTACCATTTCTCATTTACAGAGGCTGTGTTTCCTGCGTTGGATGTTCTAAGAATTGCCATCAAAGACCCTTTCATGAGCGAAAGACTTTGTACAAATGTTCATTTCGTGGACAGTAGACTAATGTATTTATCAAAAAACAACACGGCAAACAACCAGATGCTTACTTTAAGGACTCTATGTAACATGTTTAGACAGCACTTCGGTGAAACGCTAGCAATGCAAAATAGGGAAAGAATCATAACAGCAGCCTTAGAATGTCGACTTTCACCCAACAAACACGTGCAGATTGCTTTGTCCACTCTACTCCTGAATTATGCTGTGTTCCTTCAAGATAAACTTGATGAAGAGGGAAAGTCCCAGTGTTTATTGGCTATGGCCAGTGTCTTAGAAAATAACATTGATTCTGAAGCAGTTTTCAGGCTCCTCGTGTGCTTAGGTACTCTTATCAAGGCAGACGAAACAGCACAAGCTCTTGCACGATCTCTTGATATCAAGAACCTTGTTGAACCTCATCTCACAAAATCAGAACCTTCTAAAGTGCCTGAATGTGCCACCTTTATTCTGGAACTATTGTAATACAACAAAAAACTGTAAGAGAACTATAAAAATGAAGGATTAACATCAAGTATAAAATTCCTGCCAGAATATTCATTATTAAAGGTAGTTTATTTAAAATATCAGAATATCTGTTTTGATAGCTTTCAAACAATAAAATGATAGTCATTGTCTTTTATTGTTGACAATTAATGGCACAAATTGACTCATAGTGTATATGGCCATTATGCATGTATGAATGCCATTATTTCAAGAAGAGAAGAGATAGGCAAGTAACTATAGATAAGTAATGAATGGATGTGTAATAATCTTATGTATGGAACTGTTAGAGGCAGTATATTTAATTATTGTAGATTACAAGATTTTCTCAAGATGTAATTCAGCAAAGTAAAATTGTCCATGTTTTGAAACTGTTGTACCGATTTGTGTTTTCTTATTTTCTATATTTAGCATGAATTATCTGTGTGTTAAATATTGCAACTTCCATAGTCCATCTGTCCCTGTCAGCTGATTGTTACAACTTCTGTATCCATCTGTCCCAGTTAGCTGATTGTTACAACTTCTGTAGTCCCTCTGTCCCTGTGAGCTGATTGTTACAACTTCTGTATCCATCTGTCCCTGTCATCTGATTGTTACAACTTCTGTAGTCCCTCTGTCCCTGTGAGCTGATTGTTACAACTTCTGTAGTCCCTCTGTCCCTGTCATCTGATTGTTACAACTTCTGTAGTCCATCTGTCCCAGTTAGCTGATTGTTACAACTTCTGTATCCATCTGTCCCTGTTAGCTGATTGTTACAACTTCTGTATCCATCTGTCCCTGTGAGCTGATTGTTACAACTTCTGTATCCCTCTGTCCCTGTGAGCTGATTGTTACAACTTCTGTATCCATCTGTCCCTGTGAGCTGATTGTTACAACTTCTGTAGTCCATCTGTCCCTGTGAGCTGATTGTTACAACTTCTGTAGTCCATCTGTCCCTGTGAGCTGATTGTTACAACTTCTGTAGTCCCTCTGTCCCTGTGAGCTGATTGTTACAACTTCTGTAGTCCCTCTGTCCCTGTGAGCTGATTGATTGTTACAACTTCTGTAGTCCCTCTGTCCCAGTTAGCTGATTGTTACAACTTCTGTAGTCCATCTGTCCCTGTTAGCTGATTGTTACAACTTCTGTAGTCCATCTGTCCCTGTGAGCTGATTGTTACAACTTCTGTATCCATCTGTCCCTGTGAGCTGATTGTTACAACTTCTGTATCCATCTGTCCCTGTGAGCTGATTGTTACAACTTCTGTATCCATCTGTCCCAGTTAGCTGATTGTTACAACTTCTGTAGTCCCTCTGTCCCAGTTAGCTGATTGTTACAACTTCTGTAGTCCATCTGTCCCTGTGAGCTGATTGTTACAACTTCTGTATCCATCTGTCCCTGTGAGCTGATTGTTACAACTTCTGTAGTCCATCTGTCACTATGAGCTGATTGTTACAACTTCTGTAGTCCATCTGTCCCTGTGAGCTGATTGTTACAACTTCTGTATCCATCTGTCCCTGTGAGCTGATTGTTACAACTTCTGTATCCATCTGTCACTATGAGCTGATTGTTACAACTTCTGTAGTCCATCTGTCACTATGAGCTGATTGTTACAACTTCTGTAGTCCATCTGTCCCTGTTAGCTGATTGTTACAACTTCTGTAGTCCCTCTGTCCCTGTGAGCTGATTGTTACAACTTCTGTAGTCCATCTGTCCCTGTTAGCTGATTGTTACAACTTCTGTAGTCCCTCTGTCCCTGTTAGCTGATTGTTACAACTTCTGTAGTCCATCTGTCCCTGATTGTTACAACTTCTGCTGATTGTTACAACTTCTGTATCCATCTGTCCCTCTGTTGTTACAACTTCTGTAGTCCATCTGACCCTGTTAGATGATTGTTACAACTTCTGTAGTCCATCTGTCCCTGTTAGCTGATTGTTACAACTTCTGTAGTCCATCTGTCCCTGTGAGCTGATTGTTACAACTTCTGTAGTCCATCTGTCCCTGTGAGCTGATTGTTACAACTTCTGTAGTCCATCTGTCCCTGTGAGCTGATTGTTACAACTTCTGTATCCATCTGTCCCTGTGAGCTGATTGTTACAACTTCTGTAGTCCATCTGTCCCTGTGAGCTGATTGTTACAACTTCTGTAGTCCATCTGTCCCTGTGAGCTGATTGTTACAACTTCTGTAGTCCATCTGTCCCTGTGAGCTGATTGTTACAACTTCTGTAGTCCATCTGTCCCTGTGAGCTGATTGTTACAACTTCTGTAGTCCATCTGTCCCTGTGAGCTGATTGTTACAACTTCTGTAGTCCATCTGTCCCTGTGAGCTGATTGTTACAACTTCTGTAGTCCATCTGTCCCTGTTAGCTGATTGTTACAACTTCTGTAGTCCATCTGTCCCTGTGAGCTGATTGTTACAACTTCTGTAGTCCATCTGTCCCTGTCATCTGATTGTTACAACTTCTGTAGTCCATCTGTCCCTGTTAGCTGATTGTTACAACTTCTGTATCCATCTGTCCCTGTTAGCTGATTGTTACAACTTCTGTAGTCCATCTGTCCCTGTGAACTTCTGATTGTTACAACTTCTGTATCCATCTGTCCAACTTCTGTCCCTCTGTCCCTGTGAGCTGATTGTTACAACTTCTGTAGTCCATCTGTCCCTGTGAGCTGATTGTTACAACTTCTGTAGTCCATCTGTCCCTGTGAGCTGATTGTTACAACTTCTGTAGTCCCTCTGTCCCTGTGAGCTGATTGTTACAACTTCTGTATCCATCTGTCCCTGTCATCTGATTGTTACAACTTCTGTAGTCCATCTGTCCCTGTCATCTGATTGTTACAACTTCTGTAGTCCATCTGTCCCTGTTAGCTGATTGTTACAACTTCTGTAGTCCATCTGTCCCTGTGAGCTGATTGTTACAACTTCTGTAGTCCATCTGTCCCTGTGAGCTGATTGTTACAACTTCTGTAGTCCATCTGTCCCTGTGAGCTGATTGTTACAACTTCTGTAGTCCCTCTGTCCCTGTGAGCTGATTGTTACAACTTCTGTAGTCCATCTGTCCCTGTGAGCTGATTGTTACAACTTCTGTAGTCCCTCTGTCCCTGTGAGCTGATTGTTACAACTTCTGTAGTCCATCTGTCCCTGTGAGCTGATTGTTACAACTTCTGTAGTCCATCTGTCCCTGTGAGCTGATTGTTACAACTTCTGTATCCATCTGTCCCTGTGAGCTGATTGTTACAACTTCTGTAGTCCATCTGTCCCTGTGAGCTGATTGTTACAACTTCTGTAGTCCCTCTGTCCCTGTGAGCTGATTGTTACAACTTCTGTAGTCCATCTGTCCCTGTGAGCTGATTGTTACAACTTCTGTAGTCCATCTGTCCCTGTGAGCTGATTGTTACAACTTCTGTAGTCCATCTGTCCCTGTGAGCTGATTGTTACAACTTCTGTAGTCCATCTGTCCCTGTGAGCTGATTGTTACAACTTCAACTTCTGTATTGTTACAACTTCTGTCCATCTGTCCCTGTGAGCTGATTGTTACAACTTCTGTAGTCCCTCTGTCCCTGTGAGCTGATTGTTACAACTTCTGTAGTCCCTCTGTCCCTGTGAGCTGATTGTTACAACTTCTGTAGTCCATCTGTCCCTGTGAGCTGATTGTTACAACTTCTGTAGTCCATCTGTCCCTGTGATCTTCTGTAGTCCCTCTGTCCCTGTGAGCTGATTGTTACAACTTCTGTAGTCCATCTGTCCCTGTCATCTGATTGTTACAACTTCTGTAGTCCATCTGTCCCTGTGAGCTGATTGTTACAACTTCTGTAGTCCATCTGTCCCTGTGATCTGATTGTTACAACTTCTGTAGTCCATCTGTCCCTGTTAGCTGATTGTTACAACTTCTGTAGTCCATCTGTCCCTGTGAGCTGATTGTTACAACTTCTGTAGTCCATCTGTCCCTGTTAGCTGATTGTTACAACTTCTGTAGTCCATCTGTCCCTGTTGATTGTTACAACTTCTGTAGTCCATCTGTCCCTGTGAGCTGATTGTTACAACTTCTGTAGTCCATCTGTCCCTGTGAGCTGATTGTTACAACTTCTGTAGTCCCTGTTGTTATTCTGTCAACTTCTGTAGTCCATCTGTCCCTGTGAGCTGATTGTTAGTAGTCCATCTGTCCCTGTGATGATTGTTACAACTTCTGTAGTCCATCTGTCCCTGTGAGCTGATTGTTACAACTTCTGTAGTCCATCTGTCCCTGTGAGCTGATTGTTACAACTTCTGTAGTCCATCTGTCCCTGTCATCTGATTGTTACAACTTCTGTAGTCCATCTGTCCTTCTGTATCCATCTGAGCTGAATTGTTACAACTTCTGTATCCATCTGTCCCTGTGAGCTGATTGTTACAACTTCTGTAGTCCCTCTGTCCCTGTGAGCTGATTGTTACAACTTCTGTAGTCCATCTGTCCCTGTGAGCTGATTGTTACAACTTCTGTATCCCTCTGTCCCTGTGAGCTGATTGTTACAACTTCTGTAGTCCCTCTGTCCCTGTGAGCTGATTGTTACAACTTCTGTAGTCCATCTGTCCCTGTGAGCTGATTGTTACAACTTCTGTATCCCTCTGTCCCTGTGAGCTGACTGTCCCTGTGAGCTGATTGTTACAACTTCTGTAGTCCATCTGTCCCTGTTAGCTGATTGTTACAACTTCTGTAGTCCATCTGTCCCTGTGAGCTGATTGTTACAACTTCTGTAGTCCCTCTGTCCCTGTGAGCTGATTGTTACAACTTCTGTATCCATCTGTCCCTGTGAGCTGATTGTTACAACTTCTGTAGTCCATCTGTCCCTGTTAGCTGATTGTTACAACTTCTGTAGTCCCTCTGTCCCTGTTAGCTGATTGTTACAACTTCTGTAGTCCCTCTGTCCCTGTGAGCTGATTGTTACAACTTCTGTATCCATCTGTCCCTGTGAGCTGATTGATTGAATGTTACAATTCTTATGACCATTTTGCCTCCAACAATTTTTTTTTTTTTTTTTTTTTGCATTTAGCTGTCTGGAGATGAAGTCACCATTGACTTATTACCATCACCTTTTGTGTCTGGTCATGCTTCCTTTAACAGTTCACATTTTCTGACTTCCCACCCTGCATGGGCATGAGGGGCGGTGCCAAATGGACTTAATTGAAATTTCAAGTCTCTCAAGACCTAGATATGGTAGCATACTCTCTTTGAATGGAAGGGTTTCAAGGTACTTTCCCAAAATTGTGAATTTCATGACCTTAGGGTCCCATATTGCCCCCTGGGGAGGGGGTGAAGTTAACAATAATTATACAAAGAAAATTGGACTTGAAAGATTTGCATTTACATGTAGTTCAGTTTCTCATAAGTTCAAGTGCTATTTCTATCAAACTTGTGGCCACCTCTGCCCATCAAGTAAATTTCAGTAAATTTCAATGTTTGGTGTATTTTGTATTTAAGTGAATTTTGAGAATTATTGAATTTGCTTTGAAATGTTATAACAACAATATATTTACAGTGTTTGCATGCTGTTCATAAAAATGAACATGGCAAATTGTCACTTTTGGAAAAATAGTGTATTTGTAAGTCATAGGCAAGACAAATAATTTATCCACATCATTCACACCTCCAGCAATTTTAGACTTCTGTAGTATCATTAAAACAAAGTCAGTCAAAACCCAACAAAACGCAAATACTTTTTCTGCAATTTTTTTTATTGACCAAAATGTTTTGAATTTGTCTGGAATGAAATCAGTATAATAATAGATATTACCAAGAGTGTTGGAGTTTACAACAGAAGGCAGAAATATTTACCAATCTGTGTACATTGTTTTGGTTTAATGTATACTAACAGCATTTTTAACTTTAACAAAAGGAAATCTTGAAATATTCCTACTTACTTTCAGGTTTGGACTATAATGTACCATTTTTCATGTTCAATTAAAACTTTCATAATCATTTTTATAAAGTAAAACCTTCACAGTCATAGAAGTTGATGAAGTCAAAATTCATGCTTAATCTGTGAGATTCTGCTTAAGACTTATCCTGCTGTGACAGTTTCTATATCAGGTGACAGAGAATACACCTAGTACGTATCTCCTGGTGGCTTGAGCTGGCGGGAATCTGACTTAATCTGCTTATATGACGTCAGCATGAATGAGCGACATCTTGTCGCTTGCGGTTTCATCAGATTAAAGCACCGTCATTTAGTCCTCCAGTATCCGATGCACTGGTCATCACAGCTGTATGTTGTGTACAGGTACACAATATCACAGTCCAAGGAGGCAAGGATTCCAGTATCTACGTCGTGAGGATTTCCATTTTCATACACTTTCTCTAGGTATGAACGAAAGTTGAAGAGGTCTGTCTGGAGTCATGACTGTGTTTAAAACTGGTTCAATATCTTCATGATGGTACTCGATCTTGAAGTTCTGTACCATCTGTTGAAATACAAATTGAAAGAAAGTTAGATTGAATAACGCAATAGAAAAACACCCATCAGCAATACGGTTATGACAGGATAGTAACAAAATAATAGAAAGAGGAATAATTCCGGCTAGAAAGAAGATGGAAAGCAAAAGACCGGTTAGAAAGAAGATGGAAAGCAAAAGACCGGTTAGAAAGAAGATGGAAAGCAAAAGACCGGTTAGAAAGAAAGAAAAAACCGGTTAGATAGTTGCAATATCTTGTGAATGCATTGTTCAAAAACAATGACAATCTGTCAAGCAAATCTCTAAGTTACAGTGGACGTGATTCCGTTTCGAATGTTGCATTATTGCATTGCGAGACGATATCTTCCGGGGAAAGCACGAAGCGGGAAAGTCTTGTGCACAGCAGTGTGTGACATTAAGTTACACTGCTCGTCATACCATTATGTAGTCTTCATAGAGACACATCCTTTTCCGATATTTTGATTTATTTCTGATAGCATTAAACAAAGGCACAGCTTTTATTTATAAAATATTCAAGAATTCGCAACGATTCATACCAACCTTTGATAACATAATGTGCATCTCCTGTTCTGCAAATCTGCGACCTGAAACAAAGGTGAATGTTCTATTAAATCTATTAATTTCTTTAATGATTATAAACTGTGGGAAAGAAACTAATCATTCAATTTGACCCCTGCAGTAATTAACAACTCTGGCTACGGTTTTGGTGACGACAAACAACGGTTTTATTTCTATCAAGTCCTATATCTACCACACGTACAACTTCACCGCTTATGTACAATCTCGCTCCCAGACCATACACCTGTGTGTCTCCATGCCCATACACACCCGCCCTTGTATGACTCGTTTCAATCACATTTATATCTCTTTCCTCCCATCAGAGGACAATCTGAACAAAATAGTACAATCTCGCTCCCAGACCATACACCCTGTATGTGAATGCCCATACACACCCGCCCCTGTATAACTGTTTCAATCACACGAGAAGACAACCTGAATAAAATACGTATAATCTTCCAGGACGTATGTGTACATCCCGACTCCATGTGCACCTACCTATACACATTCTTGCTCCATGTCCCCACACAAGGTTGGAAAGTGCCTTGATGTTGGAGTCCATGTTTGCCTCTCTGAGCCATCTCTCTGGACGGAACTCTTCTGGATTTGGGAAATACTCGGGATCTCGGAACATTCCATATAGATTAGCTTGGACATGGGTCTGAAATAGAAAACAAGAACGATAACTCCGTGAGGCTGCTGAACAGAAATATGACGTTCAAAAACGTAGCTGCTACATCAAAAATGCAAAAGTAATTTGACAATTCGAAGTAGCTGTCTAAGTATGATACATTGTCTTAGCGCTAAACTTAATGAAGATGATATATAGTCTGTATTTGAGTATTTGTTCACGAGCGATCCTAGCGGAACATTCAGGAACTATCAAATACTACCACAGATACAAGCTACACGTTCACAAATAACGGCGGGAGACCAAGGATGGCATTAAGGAAAAAGAAGAAAACGAGAATTAAGAAAATAATGAAAAAGCCGAAAAGATTTGTTTGAGCCTTTGATGTGCATCAAACGAATCTCGACGCCGCATAACGGTATATTGTGATTGCTTTGGAGTTGGGTGTCAATCTTAAAAAAGAGTATTAGCCTGTGATTGGTCAGTTCTTTTCCCCTGGAACCAATCAATTACTTCGCTTGTGCCTTTAAGATATATATAGACTTATAGATATTTATATATATATATATATTACTTACTCCTGCCGGTAGATTAAATCCACCCACTTCTATGTCCTTCTGCACAAATCTGCTGGTAGCGAACGTGATCGGATATAACCTGAAAAGGGTGTATCTTTGTTATAAACGTTCTGTCGTATGTTTCAAATTACAGCCAGGTAGCAAATTTATCTAAATGTCTTCACAATTATTAATTAATACTCTGTAAAAATTGAATAACAAAGTTTACACTCATGTAACAATATTGTGAAATCCCTGATAATTCATGTATATAGTACAAATTTTGTAGACGTAGATTTCACACAGAAAGTTTTGCTGGCGTCACGGACTTGATCAGTTTTAATAAATATGTTGATTTTATGTCCGTTCATAAGTCAGGTAAGTCGTAAAATATAATATTAACAGTTTTATTCACATAGTGAGGTACAGCAGGGATATTCTCTCCTGTCTCTTGTACAGGTCATTATGTTTAATATTGTAAGATTGGTTGAACTTTGTCCACATGGCTTGTTTGTTACGTTTTTAGAGTTGTTAACAGCGTCAACAATTTCAACGTTTTATGGATGTTAAGCCCCATCTCTTGGGGAAAACTCTGGAGATGTTGAGTTGATTTCAACGAAATGTTTCTATGAACTATCACCACGAATCACAGATTTCAAATCCTGAATTCTCACTTGGAGACTACTTTCTCAGATTTATTAGGACCCAAAAATAAACATTTCAGCTGGTTTCTGCAGAGACCCCACATTTTTAATTATGAAAATCATTCTGGAAAATTTCTCTATCAAAACTTAAAATGCTAACATATTTTGAAAAGTTGAATACTAGAAGATGGTCAAATAAATTAATGTCATTTTAGAACATTTTCATGTTTTGGTTGCTGTGCATTTTAAAGCTCGTTAAATCGAATGAAATCTTCTTCACATTATTTTTTTCTTAGTTGTCTAGTATCATACCCTCACTTTTTAATGAAAGACTAAAATTTATTTTAAGAAAGATCGTCGTAAAAATGACAGAGAATGTCTATTATGCAGGGAGAAATAAAAAGAATACGTGAAAATTAATCATTTTCTGATACACATATTCTCACGGATGTATCGGAAAAGTCGTGAAGCAACATAGTGATTTACTTCTAGTATCTACTTCTAAAATCAAACCTCGCAAAAATCTCGACCTGAAAAAAGTTTATATGGGATTTTGTTTTACTCTCAAGAGTGCATCCTTTAAATTTAAATGTCGTAGGGTTAAGCAGCTATATTTGATAGTGCTGACTAACTTTAGACCAAAGTGTTTACCTGAATGTCTCTTTAATGACAGCTTTGATGTAAGGTAGTTTGTTGAGGGTTTCCGGAGTTATCGCCTCCTTGCTAGGTAGGACAGACTGGATTTCTTGAAAGAGTGTTTCCTGTACTTTTGGGTTCTTAGCAAGGCAGTACATCACCCACAGCGAGCCGTTAGATGTCTGTGCGGTGAAAACAAACAATTACAGAGGGCCAACACACCAGGAAAAATTGTCCGCTGGCGTTGAATCAACATACGAGTGAAGAACCCCTACGTTCTCATTCCAAACCCATTGAAGTATATTGAATTATACGTCTCGACGTCCCATCCCAATTTTGTCAAAACAGACGGAAACAAGAGCCCCTACTTCCCAAACCAATATCGTCAAAACAGATGAAATCAAGTGGCCCTAACTCCCAGCCAAATCTCGTCAAAACAGATGAAATCAAGTGTAACGACTTCCCATCCCAATCTCGTCAAAACAGATGGAATCAAGTGTCCCGACCTCCCATCCCAATCTCGTCAAAACAGATGGAATCAAGTGGCCCTAACTCCCATCCCAATCTCGTCAAAACAAATTGAATCAAGTGTCCCGACCTCCCATCCCAATCTCGTCAAAACAAATTGAATCAAGTGTCCGACCTCCCATCCCAATCTCGTCAAAACAGATGGAATCAAGTGTCCCGACCTCCCATCCCAATCTCGTCAAAACAGATGGAATCAAGTGTCCCGACTTCCCATCCCAATCTCGTCAAAACAAATTGAATCAAGTGTCCCGACTTCCCATTCCAATCTCGTCAAAACAAATTGAATCAAGTGTCCGACCTCCCATCCCAATCTCGTCAAAACAGATAGAATCAAGTGTCCCGACTTCCCATCCCAATCTCGTCAAAACAAATGGAATCAAGTGTCCGACCTCCCATCCCAACCTCGTCAAAACAAATTGAATCAAGTGTCCCGACCTCCCATCCCTATCTCGTCAAAACAGATGGAATCAAGTGTCCCGACTTTCCATCCCAATCTCGTCAAAACAGATGGAATCAAGTGTCCCGACTTTCCATCCCAATCTCGTCAAAACAGATGGAATCAAGTGTCCCGACTTCCCATCCCAATCTCGTCAAAACAAATTGAATCAAGTGTCCCGACTTCCCATCCCAATCTCGTCAAAACAAATTGAATCAAGTGTCCCGACTTCCCATTCCAATCTCGTCAAAACAAATTGAATCAAGTGTCCGACCTCCCATCCCAATCTCGTCGAAACAGGTGGAATCAAGTGTCCCGACCTCCCATCCCAATCTCGTCAAAACAGATGGAATCAAGTGTCCGACCTCCCATCCCAACCTCGTCAAAACAAATTGAATCAAGTGTCCCGACCTCCCATCCCTATCTCGTCAAAACAGATGGAATCAAGTGTCCCGACTTTCCATCCCAATCTCGTCAAAACAGATGGAATCAAGTGTCCCGACCTCCCATCCCAGTCTCGTCGAAACAGATGGAATCAAGTGTCCCGACCTCCCATCCCAGTCTCGTCGAAACAGATGAACTATTTTTATTATCATTAAATCAATGAACAGATTTTTTATAAAAAAAAAAATTAGAGTTAGATACAGTGGAACCATATAATGAATCATCATACTGTTGTTTCGACCTTCTAGGACTCATCAGTGATGTTACATCAAAACAAATTCTAGGACTCATCAGTGATGTTACATCATACTGCTGTTTCGACCTTCTCAAAACTCATCAGTGATGTTACATCATACTGCTGTTTCGACCTTCTAGGACTCGTCAAAACAGATGTTAATCATACAGCTGTTTCGTCCTTCAATCTCATCAGTGATGTTACATCATACTGCTGTTTCGACCTTCTATCATCAAAACAGATGTTACATCATACTGCTGTTTCGACCTTCTTCGTCAAAACAGTGATGTTAATCATACTGCTGTTTCGACCTTCCATCCCAGGACTCGTCAAAACAGATGGAATCAAGTGTCCGACCTCCCTCCCAGTGATGTTAAACAGGTGAACTATTTTTATTTCATTAAATCAATCAGATTTTTTATAAAAAAAAAAATTAGAGTTAGATACAGTAGAACCATATAATGAATCATCATACTGTTGTTTCGACCTTCTAGGACTCATCAGTGATGTTACATCATACTGCTGTTTCGACCTTCTAGGACTCGTCAGTGATGTTACATCATACTGCTGTTTCGACCTTCTAGGACTCATCAGTGATGTTACATCATACTGCTGTTTCGACCTTCTAGGACTCGTCAGTGATGTTACATCATACTGCTGTTTCGTCCTTCTAGGACTCATCAGTGATGTTACATCATACTGCTGTTTCGTCCTTCTAGGACTCATCAGTGATGTTACATCATACTGCTGTTTCGACCTTCTAGGACTCATCAGTGATGTTACATCATACTGCTGTTTCGACCTTCTAGGACTCGTCAGTGATGTTACATCATACAGCTGTTTCGTCCTTCTAGGACTCATCAGTGATGTTACATCATACTGCTGTTTCGACCTTCTAGGACTCTTCAGTGATGATACATCATACTGCTGTTTCGACCTTCTAGGGCTCATCAGAGATGATAAGGACCTAAAGTTTGAAGCTTTTCAACTAACTGAGGATAATCCCAAGTGACCTACACAAAGGTTTTGATTATGATAGCATTAACGAAAGTATGCTGGATTCATGCTAACACTCCGAGACATGTTTAGCTAGTGTGAACGGAATCGGTGTATTGAATACAGAAGTATCAGTGGCTTTTGTCTTTGTTTTTCAGTATACTGAAATATATTTATGCAGGAGATTTATTAAAGATATCATATTTACCGTTTCAGTGGCTCCTACAAGCAAGTCGACAGCTGTAGAGAGGGCGTCTTCAGGAGTTAGGGACTCCTGTGACATCAGATACGTCAAAAACGAGACTTTCTCGTTTTCTTCGGGGACAACGCCTTCCAGAGCCTTTGCTTTCTGATGATATGAAAAATGTTTTAAAATATCAATTGACAAAACATAAAAATATATAATCCATACCAACTCTGAGGTAGGAGGTATGTATGGACAGCTAGTTTACTAGGCAGGACATTCAGGATCGCTGGGATATCCAGGAAGGATTACACACACTAGAACTCATACATTTCACTCTCCCTTGTGATTTCTCGCTCCCATCCGAATGAGAATATGATCAGGTGAAGAAGTTGATGTTATGATACCATGGCGGTCAGTAGAAACTGTTGAGGGTTCGTAGATTAGGGAAGTAATTAGACAAACGTAACACTATGACCCCTCGTAACATTTCAGTTCTAACTTTATAAGACCTCTGTATTAGTGCCTTCCACACCGCTATCTATACGAAGAGTCTTACATATGTATCAGTTTATCATCCTCGATACTCCAGGGATTATGATCACTTTGGTTTTCTGGACCCCTGGAACATGTCATGGCAAAATTGAAGGGACACACGAAGTAATTTATTCCTTTTAAAGATTACAAAGGAGCGACACCCAACTTCAAAGCGAATTGTATTATTGTCTCTAAATTATTTTCCCATTTCATATATTTTTCCATGGCTATTTTCGTCTAAGTACTATTCCTAATTGTCATTAATATTGTATGTACCTTATATATTTGTATTAATTTTCTTATTCTTTGTCTTAAATTTGTAATGTACTCTTCATTTCTGGAGGAATAAAGTCATCTTGTCCTCAGTGTATTGCTCATGGGATCTTCAGTTTTGCTATGACATGTTCCAAGGGGTCCAGAGAACGAAAGTGATCGTAATCCCTGGAGTATCGAGAATGCTAAGACCACGTGCAAAAATATGAAATTTTTACATTTCACAAAAATAGTACATATTTTTTTATAAACTCGGTATTCACAAAAATGAAAATCGAATATGGATAAAAATGTTACTTAAGTTAAATATTGTTGAAATTTGTAATAGATAATTGAAACTCGTATACAAGTCACTAAACTGTTGACTTACCTTATCAACAAAAGATCGACCGATTTTCATAACCTGGTTAGCGTAGCTTTCGTACTGGTTCCACATTTTAGTAGGGAGGATTTTGTAGATGGGGACGTTATACATGAGAGGTTGCATCAGTTTGAAGAAACCTTGGAGGTTGTCTATGAAATCTTGCGCTTGTTGCGGGGTTGGACTTCCGAAACAACCAATCCTTTCCTCGAACAGAAATGTACCAATTGCTACAGAGGAAAACGTCAAATTTCTTAATACATATGTAATTACTTTAAACGTAATAAGGCATCGTTTGCTTTTAAAGTAAAACATAGAGTAAATATCGTGTGATAGGTTTTGATCTTCAACATAAAAACAAGCCACAGATATGAGGATGAATTGTGTGCAATGTGTCAGCATTAGATAAAAATTTATAACTGTCATTGATAAAACATTGTAAACCGTCTTTTATACTTTAATTAAGATTGCAGGTGGTAGACACTTTTAGTCCCAGAGATTTACCGTAACCTACATACTACGTTTTAATTCACAAAGAAGTATTGACGTTGATTTACGAAATGGAGTAAATGATGGGGCTAGTGCACTTTCAGTGGAATTTGATTATCCACGGTTGCCTCCTAGACCTAGGTTTCAAACGTTTGGCCCTCAGCCTCACTGATGAGTCTTAGAAAGTTGTGAAAGTAAATTCGTCACTCGTTGTTACTGTGTCTAAATTTGTTTCAACGGGTGCTATTCGCTTGTGTTTGTTTTTTAACAATCTTATAAGAACTAAAAATTATACAAGTGTACAGAATTCAAGAAGCGAATCACTAAAAATAATTAAATAAAATATAATATTCGTAGATAGAATTATTTTGGAGCTGAATTTAATAGCTTACATTCCATAGCCCATTTGAAGATTTCCTTCTCGAGGACAGGAACCTCGTGGTTGGCAGTGCTCTTGGCCTTGAGGTGATGGACAAAATCTTCAGCCACAGTATCCATGGATCCGCAGTAGTCTAGAACCTCCTTCATTTTCAGCATCTTTTTACTGACTACTGTTCGGTATTTATGCCATTCCTCTCCTTGTCTGAAAAGTTGATGTCGACCCTAAATATCCATCTTTATAATCCCCTTATGTTAAATACATCGAGTGTTGAATGAATGTGCATTACACTGAAAACGGCGATAGAAAAATTCGCAACGAAGGAAAGCGAATTGAAGTTAAGACCAAACAGAAAAAAGCAATTTTTGTAAATATTAATGGGAGTTGTGTTAACATAACATTTTTTGTAGGTGAAGAATTTACAAACAAAAACAGAATCAGGTGTCTGATCAGTAAATCCGAAAATCTATCAGAAGGTAACGGTAAGTCATGTACATGGTAAGCGTTCCTACACAAGGTATTGCAGCGGAAGATTTCCTCCCGATCATTAGTAATTAACCTGGAATCCTCATATCTAATCATACTAATATTGGTAGAAATCCAGAGATATTGGTCTTGTTAACAATGACGGTGCAGTAGAGATTGTTATATGAGAGCAGTTTAGATTAGTTTCAGAGGTAAAGGAAGTTAGTCAGACCGAAAAGATAGAAAAAAGTAAAATTGTGGATGCGAATGAAATCAACTGTTTTGTTGAGTTTCGTAATATGAAAACGATGAAATGATACTTCAAGACATTCGGAGAAAAGATCTAAGAATACAATAGTAACAGAGTGACTTACGTATTATAGTAACACAGTGACTTACGAATTATTAACAGAGTGACTTACGAATTATTAACAGAGTGACTTACGAATTATTAACACAGGGACTTACGAATTATTAACACAGGGACTTACGAATTATTAACACAGGGACTTACGAATTATAGTAACAGAGTGACTTACGAATTATTAACACAGGGACTTACGTATTATAGTAACAGAGTGACTTACGTATTATTAACAGAGTGACTTACGAATTATTAACACAGGGACTTACGAATTATTAACACAGGGACTTACGAATTATTAACAGAGTGACTTACGAATTATTAACAGAGTGACTTACGAATTATTAACACAGGGACTTACGAATTATTAACACAGGGACTTACGAATTATTAACACAGGAACTTACGAATTATTAACACAGGGACTTACGAATTATAGTAACAGAGTGACTTACGAATTATTAACACAGGGACTTACGTATTATAGTAACAGAGTGACTTACGTATTATTAACAGAGTGACTTACGAATTATTAACACAGGGACTTACGAATTATTAACACAGGGACTTACGAATTATTAACACAGGAACTTACGAATTATAGTAACAGAGTGACTTACGAATTATTAACACAGGGACTTACGTATTATAGTAACAGAGTGACTTACGAATTATTAACAGAGTGACTTACGAATTATTAACAGAGTGACTTCCGAATTATTAACAGAGTGACTTACGAATTATTAACACAGGGACTTACGAATTATTAACACAGGGACTTACGAATTATAGTAACAGAGTGACTTACGAATTATTAACAGAGTGACTAACGAATTATTAACAGAGTGACTTACGAATTATAGTAACAGAGTGACTTACGAATTATTAACAGAGTGACTTACGTATTATAGTAACAGAGTGACTTACGAATTATTAACAGAGTGACTTACGAATTATTAACAGATTGATTTACGCATTATTAACAGAGTGACTTACGTATTATAGTAACAGAGTGACTTACGAATTATTAACAAAGTGACTTACGAATTATTAACAGAGTGACTTACGAATTATTAACAGATTGATTTACGCATTATTAACAGAGTGACTTACGAATTACTAACAGAGTGACTTACGAATTACTAACAGAGTGACTTACGAATTATTAACAGAGTGACTTACGAATTATCAACAGAGTGACTTACGAATTATTAACAGATTGATTTACGCATTATTAACAGAGTGACTTACGTATTATAGTAACAGAGTGACTTACGAATTATTAACAAAGTGACTTACGAATTATTAACAGAGTGACTTACGAATTATTAACACAGGGACTTACGAATTATTAACAGATTGATTTACGAATTATTAACACAGGGACTTACGAATTATTAACACAGGGACTTACGAATTATAGTAACAGAGTGACTTACGAATTATTAACAGAGTGACTAACGAATTATTAACAGAGTGACTTACGAATTATAGTAACAGAGTGACTTACGAATTATTAACAGAGTGACTTACGTATTATAGTAACAGAGTGACTTACGAATTATTAACAGAGTGACTTACGAATTATTAACACAGGGACTTACGAATTATTAACAGATTGATTTACGAATTATTAACAGAGTGACTTACGTATTATAGTAACAGAGTGACTTACGAATTATTAACAGAGTGACTTACGAATTATTAACACAGGGACTTACGAATTATTAACAGAGTGACTTACGAATTATAGTAACGGAGTGACTTACGAATTATTAACACAGGGACTTACGTATTATAGTAATAGAGTGACTTACGTATTATAGTAACAGAGTGACTTACGAATTATTAACACAGGGACTTACGAATTATTAACACAGGGACTTACGAATTATTAACAGAGTGACTTGCGAATTATTAACACAGGGACTTACGAATTATTAACACAGGGACTTACGAATTATTAACAGAGTGACTTGCGAATTATTAACAGAGTGACTTACGAATTATTAACACAGGGACTTACGAATTATTAACACAGGGACTTACGAATTATTAACAGAGTGACTTACGAATTATTAACAGAGTGACTTACGAATTATAGTAACAGAGTGACTTACGAATTATTAACAGAGTGACTTACGTATTATAGTAACAGAGTGACTTACGAATTATTAACAGAGTGACTTACGAATTATTAACAGAATGACTTACGAATTATTAACACAGGGACTTACGTATTATTAACAGATTGATTTACGCATTATTAACAGAGTGACTTACGTATTATAGTAACAGAGTGACTTACGAATTATTAACAAAGTGACTTACGAATTATCAACTTACGAATTATTAACAGAGTGACTTACGAATTATTAACAGAGTGACTTACGAATTATTAACAGATTGATTTACGCATTATTAACAGAGTGACTTACGTATTATAGTAACAGAGTGACTTACGAATTATTAACAGAGTGACTTACGAATTATTAACAGAATGACTTACGTATTATAGTAACAGAGTGACTTACGAATTATTAACAGAGTGACTTACGAATTATTAACAGGTTGATTTACGCATTATTAACAGAGTGACTTACGTATTATAGTAACAGAGTGACTTACGAATTATTAACAAAGTGACTTACGAATTATTAACACAGGGACTTACGAATTATTAACACAGGGACTTACGTATTATTAACAGATTGATTTACGCATTATTAACAGAGTGACTTACGTATTATAGTAACAGAGTGACTTACGTATTATAGTAACAGAGTGACTTACGAATTATTAACAGAGTGACTTACGAATTATAGTAACAGAGTGACTTACGAATTATTAACACAGGGACTTACGAATTATAGTAACAGAGTGACTTACGAATTATTAACAGAGTGACTAACGAATTATTAACAGAGTGACTTACGAATTATAGTAACAGAGTGACTTACGAATTATTAACAGAGTGACTTACGTATTATAGTAACAGAGTGACTTACGAATTATTAACAGAGTGACTTACGAATTATTAACAGAATGACTTACGTATTATAGTAACAGAGTGACTTACGAATTATTAACAGAGTGACTTACGAATTATCAACAGAGTGACTTACGAATTATTAACAGATTGATTTACGCATTATTAACAGAGTGACTTACGAATTATAGTAACAGAGTGACTTACGAATTATCAACAGAGTGACTTACGAATTATTAACAGAGTGACTTACGAATTATTAACAGAGTGACTTACGAATTATAGTAACAGAGTGACTTACGAATTATTAACAGAGTGACTTACGTATTATAGTAACAGAGTGACTTACGTATTATAGTAACAGAGTGACTTACGAATTATTAACAGAGTGACTTACGAATTATTAACAGAGTGACTTACGAATTATTAACAGATTGATTTACGCATTATTAACAGAGTGACTTACGTATTATAGTAACAGAGTGACTTACGAATTATTAACAGAGTGACTTACGTATTATAGTAACAGAGTGACTTACGAATTATTAACAGAGTGACTTACGAATTATTAACAGAGTGACTTACGAATTATTAACAGAGTGACTTACGTATTATAGTAACAGAGTGACTTACGAATTATTAACACAGGAACTTACGAATTATTAACAGAGTGACTTACGAATTATTAACAGTGTGACTTACGCATTGACAAGCCCCAGTCCAATGCCGTTCTTTGTTCTGTAATAAGCCATAGGTTCCATCTCACGTCGTTTGGGATATTTGCCTTCGTCTCGTATCACTTTGTTATACTCTGCGGGATCGCTTATTATAACGGTAGAAATTGTTGCTATTTTCTCTTTGTAGATTGGTCCAAATTCCAAAGCTCGTATTCTGTATGCCTGTAAACAATTTATACAAAACGTTTGAGCTGATTCTGAGCGTGTCGCTGAAGGCTATTTCTCTAAGTAAGATATAGTTTTTATCATTTAATGCCAATTTCGCTATGAAAGCGATTGCATCTAAAAGGTCAAAGCTGTTTGTGACATAAATTATCTATTTTCCACATTATCAACATTCCGTTTTAGTCAAGGAATTATCACAATTTCACAAAAAAAAAAAAAAAAAAATATCAGCCAAACCTCAAACATTTTGCTGAATCTGAGACCGTCCTTTTTGAAGTAATCGAACAGTGTCCCAACAATAGGAAGGCCTTTGGGTCCGGGTATGGCGTCGTAGCTTTGTAATTTGGTGGCGATTTCTGGAGATTCCACTTGGTATGCCGATGTTGGAAGCGGTTTCTTTATCATATTATCAATTGTTTCGAAAGTTTTTCTAAATGGACACTGTAAATGAACAAAAATCTGTACAATGTAAGGGGATATTCTGGTCGTAATCTTATCAAATCTATATCAACAAGTTTGTAGATGGAACTAAAACGCTTGTTTCTTAATTCCTGAAAAGATTTAAGTAAGGTGCTAAGTAAGTAAAATCTACTCTCTATTTGTAATAATGTCACATTTGCTGTTAGCTGTCCAGTAAATCGGTCGGGTAACATTTTGTTTATCTCGAAGTCCTGATTTCTACAATTTGCAGGGTGAACAATAAGGAGATGGAATAATATTCGAGACGAGATATCTGGAGATGCAGGATATATGTCACATTAAATGATCGCGCGATATTCGAAATGTAATATCAAGATTTGCAGACTGGCAAAAAAGAAGGGAGATCAGGTTTTGTTATACTGCATCTGGTACCCAGGAATTGCCCGACTTTATAACTTTTGAAGCAAATTGAAGCAAAATATCACAGATTTTGATGAAATGTCTAATCTTTTATTTCCAAATCGACGAGAGTTCTACTTTTATACATCAATGTTTTACTGTCATTAACCTTCAGATTTATCATTGAACACTCACCGTTCCTGCAATGTCTGCTCCAACAGTGAGCACTTGCGCCCCCTGGTGGCTGGGAGTCGACGTTGAAACAACTCGTTTGAACGGGGTATTAATTTTTACCAATTTGGTAAGAGCTTTTGTTCTGGTGGATGCCATTTCTGTTGTGAAAATAAATCTATGTGTTAGTATGAATCGTCAAAATACACTTCACATATGACAGTATATATACTAAACAAAAAAAGAAAAGTAACACTACTTTATTCTGTGATCAATTAATTAGCCCGTCCATAAATCCTTACCAATCATGTACGAGTAAAGTAATTGATCAATTCTGATAAAACTGCAGTCATATTTCATTATAAAACTTTGCGTTCAGTTGATTTTATTCGACTGTAAAGGACGTTGGGGTCAATTTCAAAGGTAACACCATTAGTAACGGGTATGGCCACTGTTTGCGAAGTAAACAGCATTGCAGCGTCGTCGCATGGAACTCGTAAACCGGCGGATAATTTGAGGAGAGATGTTGTTCCATTCAGCGATCAAGGCTTGTGCCAGCTTCTGCAAGTTTGACGGCTGATTTTGACGTTCTCTCACGCGTCGCCCAAGAACGTCCCAGACATGACCAATCGGTGACAAATCAGGTGATTTAGATGGCCAATCTAACACCTGTACGTTATTCTGCTGCAAGAAAGTTCTGTTGACTCGACTGGTGTGCGCTTGTGCGTTATCCTGTTGAAAAATGGCGCCAACGCCATGGCGTCTTAAGAATGGCAGAACCACTGGTCTTAAAATTTCGTCCCGATATCGAATATACCCCCCCCCCCCCCCCCAACAAATACCACCCAAACCATTACACTTCCGCCGCCAAAGCGGTCCCGTTCTGCGACGCAGCAGTTCGCAAAACGCTCCCCTTGTCACCTCCGCACTCTGCGCCTTCCGTCACCGTGTTTGCAGACAAAACCTGGACTCATCTGAAAACAGAACATTGTTCCATTGTCCTAAGGCCCAACGACGGTGAACACGGGTCCAGTTACGCCGATTATTACTGTGACGTCGCAACAAATTGGGTCCAGTGTAGGGACGCCGCGCTTTCAATTGGTAGGCCCTCAACCTGTTGCGGACTGTTTGGGGAGACACACGACGCCCAAACAATGTCCTTGTAGTCTCTACTGCGGTTACGAATCGATTGCGCAAGTGTATCAATCGTATACGACGGTCATCCCTGGCGGTCGTTTTACGGGGTCGGCCGCTTCGGGGACTATCGGATTTTGACCCAGTTTGGTTTAAATGACTTACCAACTGGCAAATTGTCTTAACACTGCAACCAAAATGCCGTGCAACTCGACGGCGAGACTCCCCAGCCTGGATCATGCCTACAGCCCTTTCTCTCTGTACTTGTGACAGCCGGGGCATAATGATAAAGTTGATAGATAGCAAGATTCAGTGATTTCTAAGTCCTAAGGATCTAAGGAGCAGTTGTCAGTTTGAATGTTTATGAAATTCAAGCAAAGATACAAATTAGTCGCAGAAAACCTCATGCAGCTCTTTCGCTAATACAGACTTTCACACTTGAATGATTTTGGTAACCCCCTTGGATTTTGTAATCTAAAACATGACCATTTTTTAATATTGCACAAACGTCATTTTGTTTTCACTCATTTACAGGTATTCGCCAAGGAAACATGTTAACCTTTCTTTTTTTGTTGAGTATATAATACTTCATTGTCCATAAACTGTATGATTCTGCTATGACACATCATCATACTCATCATCCTCATCCTCATCATCCTCATCCTCATCATCATCATCATCAACAACAACTATATCATCATCATTATCATTATCCTCATCATCACCATCCTCCTCCTCATCAACAACAACAACAATATCATCATCATCATCATCATCATCATCATCATCATCAACAACAACAACTATATCATCATCATCATCATCATCATCATCATCGACTTGTCTTGACTCTGTTGGAAATGAGAATTTTCAGTTTTCTCAGTATGGATCACCTTTAACAGTCAAACAAATTATAGAGCGATACTTGAAATGCATTTCCATTGTAATCGGCATCTTTAAACATTTAAAGTTGCAACAAACTTTCCTATCAGTCATGGCGAAAACATACGCTACTAAATGATGAATATTTAAACTTTAAGATCAACGTCATAAACAATGTCGACAAACTGTTATGGATATAGCAAAAGCATATTTCAACCAAATAAGTTTGAAAGGTGATGTGATGAGATAATATTTCCATTAATTAAAGATAAATTACCGAGATATCGGAGAAAAAATATTTCCATTGATTAACCTGTCGGGATGCCACAAATGAATATTTAAAATGATTAAAGAGAATTCACCGAGATAAAAATGTTTTCATTAATTAAAGACAATTTACGGGGATATTACAGGATATTTTCACCAAATCATTTACCTTTTTATGATAACGTCAATAGACTGTACACTTGATCATATATCTAAAGTCCAAATGATGAGAACAAATTGGTACTTACCTTTGTTTTTTATTTTGGAGTTCGAATGTTCCGAAAATATGGCAACCTTCTTTCAACCTACTGGTACGCTTCGCTTAGGCACTCTGTGCACAGATTAGAAGGACTCTTACGGTTTTATACTCCTGGGCACTGTGCCTACTGGTCGTCACAGCTGGAGAACCATTGAACGCCAGATATAAAGGATTCATTGATGGAGCCTGATTAATTTTCTCAGTAAACGAAATGGTAGCCTGGCAACCGTATGGGACTAACTAAACTGACTTTATCATCAACACACGTGATAACAATACACATTTAGAACAATGAAATATCATCATTCGAACAGCTATTCGGACCTGACTCAGGTTTTTTTTTTCATATACGGTAGTTGAATAGATTGAATATTTTCATAAACCGTACATGATTGTATCAATATAAAGAATGTTTTATAAACCGTAATTAGATGTGTCAATAGATTGAATGTTTTATAAACCGTAATTAGATGTGTCAATATATGGAATGTTTTATAAACCGTAATTAGATTTGTCAATATAAGGAATGTTTTATAAACCGTAATTAGATGTGTCAATAGATGGAATGTTTTATAAACCGTAATTAGATGTGTCAATATATGGAATGTTTTATAAACCGTAATTAGATGTGTCGTGTCAATATAAGGAATGTTTTATAAACCGTAATTAGATGTGTCAATATATGGAATGTTTTATAAACCGTAATTAGATGTGTCAATATATGGAATGTTTTATAAACCGTAATTAGATGTGTCAATATATGGAATGTTTTATAAACCGTAATTAGATGTGTCAATAGATGGAATGTTTTATAAACCGTAATTAGATGTGTCAATAGATGGAATGTTTTATAATCGCTTGTATTGATTACTTTCGAACTTCTTTTTTTCCCGTTTGTTAATATTGTCGTCCGGTATTACAGCCGGTGACATGCAGGTTAAATACTATTTAGATTTAAGCTTCAGATTTTGGTATGACGTCGGGTAGTGAGCACGTGATTTTATGTGACCCAGAAATGTTACATGCATCATCTTTCTTGATTACGTACAGAATGTATATTAATTCATGACTACTGCTGATGATAGTTCTATCGGTTTATGTGAATCAGAACTGCGGATAATATAAGTCTATATATATATATATTTATAATATTCACCAAAGGTTAAGCTGATCACAGTGGGAACACTGAGCGCTGCCTGTTTGCCAGCTGGTACATAGCACCCACGTGAAAACTAGATCTCTCTTCATTCATCTATCTTCTCGTGATATAACCCTGAGGAGAGACGTCAAAGGTACCGCTTGTCCAAACATCACATCTGGATCAGACCGCATTTCAAACATTCTCATACCACTACGATAAATAAATGGGTTACATTGGTTTGCCTTTGGACGCAATTTTGTCATTTTCTTATCAGCTTGTTCATGAAGTAAAATTACTTGAATGAGTGTCCAAGAAAAGTATATTTATGAAGGACCATATTTATGTTCATATTTAGGTTGATCGTGTTAGAAATGATGTATTAAATATCTAGTATACTAGCAAGGAAATAAAGAATGTTTATTCTAACATCTGAAAAAAATTTGATATCATCGACTTCTTCCTATCATCTGACATTTGTTTATAACAGACCAATGACACCAACATGTTACTATGGAACCAACACAGAGTTCCTTTTCGTTCTGTGACAACACGTGTTACTTTTAATGGGTATGGAACCAACACAGAGTTCCTTTTCGTCCAGTGACAACACGTGTTACTATTTATGGGTATAGTACCAACACTGTGTTCCTTTTCGTCCTGTGACAACACGTGTTACTATTAATGGGTATGGAACCAACAATGGGTTCCTTTTCGTCCTGTGACAACACGTGTTACTTTTAATGGGTATAGTGCCAACACAGAGTTCCTTTTCGTCCAGTGACAACACGTGTTACTATTTATTGGTATAGTACCAACACTGTGTTCCTTTTCGTCCTGTGACAACACGTGTTACTATTTATGGGTATAGTATCAACACTGTGTTCCTTTTCGTCCTGTGACAACACGTGTTACTATTAATGGGTATGGAACCAACACTGTGTTCGTTTTCGTCCTGTGACAACACGTGTTACTATTAGTAGGTATAGTACCAACACAGAGTTCCTTTTCGTCCAGTGACAGCACGCGTTACTATTAATGGGTACAGTACCAACACTGAGTTCCTTTTCGTCCTGTGACAACACGTGTTACTATTAATGGGTATAGTACCAACACAGAGTTCCTTTTCGTCCAGTGACAACACGTGTTACTATTTATGGTATAGTACCAACACTGTGTTCCTTTTCGTCCTGTGACAACACGTGTTACTATTAATGGGTATGGAACCAACACTGCGTTCCTTTTCGTCCTGTGACAACACGTGTTACTATTAATGGGTATGGAACCAACACTGTGTTCCTTTTCGTCCTGTGACAACACGTGTTACTATTAGTAGGTATAGTACCAACACAGAGTTCCTTTTCGTCCAGTGACAGCACGCGTTACTATTAATGGGTATAGTACCAACACTGAGTTCCTTTTCGTCCTGTGACAACACGTGTTACTATTAATGGGTATAGTACCAACACAGAGTTCCTT